TGGTTATTTGGATTAGGTTTTTAGTTTGAAGTGCCCGGGTAGCTCGTATCTTAAGTCACACGCCCGTTAGGTCACACGAGAGTTACCGGTATAGGTTCGGCGCTTCTTTAGTGCGTCAGCATGATGTCGAAGTTCGTACTCGAGAGAAGTAGCTGGGAAACTTGAAGCCTCCAACCGTCAGTATCTCGTCGGCGTTAACGTTGAAACAGAGTGGACGGCCTCGATTAATCAATCAGCAACATTGCCCTTCTTGCAATACTGGTAAATCCCATTTCACTTAGGAGCCATTTAACTTAAGATCCAAGGTACCCGGGCAAACAAACTAAAAATTTTAACCAACAGAATCACCTGCTCCGCACCCGAACCCACCCTAACCACCATACCAACCCTACCCGTCTCCCGGGCGCCTATCCTAAGTGAATGGCTCTAAAGTGAAATGGGAGTTACCAGAGTCTTCTTGCAGCTCATGGCAGAGGTCTAGCTCACGTTTTCGGTCTTAGAAAGCATTCATCTGAAGCTTGATGTGCACTCCAAGATCGGACGGCTGTGATAGGTGCGCCAGCATGCAATGGAGTTTTGTACTGCTTGGGTTTCTGCATGAGCATCTCCGGTACGTACCGGACGTCTCTTGGTGACTGCCAATGTCTGAGATGACCGGTACATACAGGACTTGAGGGTGCAATGCAAAAGTTCGAAGAACCTTCAATTTGAGCCACAAAAAGCAGATTCATTCCAGCAGAACCGGCTTGAATGACCCGCTTGATACTTGTAGCTGGTAGGTGCATAGTCCGAGTTGGAACACCATGGGCGCGTTCTGGCTGCTGCTCTTTCTCTTCGTCTTCTTGACGGCGAGCTGGTGCTGTTGGGCGTGGTGGCAAAGCGGCAGGGGTAAGCTTTTCTTAGGAGCTGCTGCTGATTGAATGAGAGGTTTGTGCTCCAGCAGCCAGCACACGTTCACGATATTCGTGGAGTTATTTTGCTGTGTTTAGTCGCTACGAAGTGGCTTTTGTTCACAATCTCCCACTCTGCAGTCAACAGGCTACAGTAAGGTCGACCTGTTACTGAGAAGCGCGCGAGCCTTGAACAAGATTCTGAGGAGGGCAAAGTTTAGTCGTTGCAGCCCTCTCTCCCTACTTAATTTGGAAACGGTCCCAGATGCTCAAGGGAGAGTCATGGCTTTCTGGACTCTTTATGACCGCCTGCAATAACCAGCTTCAAAAGCAGTCTGAGCAGAGAGCCCTTTGGTCCAGCGTACAGTGACTGAAGTACCAGTCCTACTCTCGTCTCCGCATGTTTGGATGGTCAGCTTCTGCTTCGAGATTTCAGTGCTCCTGATATCCAAAGAACACCGGAAACAAAGAAGAGCTTCAAAAAGAGTGAACAAGCTGGATTGCACCACTGCTTCGATGAAACGCAATGCTTAGTGTGTCTGTCGATTCTGGACAGTTGTCTTTGTTCACGAAGTCTGGCGACCCCTGTGACCGTTCCCACAGTTTACCTAGCTGATATTCCAGTCTCAAACCAGCCAAGATATTGTTAGGCTTTGGTTGCTCCGTTTTGCTGGAGCTGAGTACACCATATTTTGTCTGAACGACTCACTCTTGTCCTGAACGCAGCATTCACGCCACCACCTTTCAAGGGCAGCCCCAGATTGGCAGTGAGCTGGAAAGGGTCCGGTTCAAACACTTGGTGTCAGTATAAGGCCAGCGTTAGCCGAGCTATCCTTTGCCACCTGGGTATCGGGACAGGCGACATTTTACCTCGAAAAGCGGCTTCGAAAGTCGCCGCGGCCCAACGTTGATGTGGAGAAGACGTCAGCGCGGCCGCACAAGGACCGAATCAGGTACAAGCTCGTGCTTTTACACAACTCAGGCTAGTCTTTCAGAGTCTTCAAAAGATGAACAAAGCAAACAGTAAGGAAGATCAGAGGAAATTGGTACCACAAACCCAATCCGAGATTTGACTGATGAGCCTTACGTTTGTCATTGGCATTCTGAGCGCCGCATGAGCTCAGTTGTCGACTGTTCGGACATACAATATGACCAAAAGTCTCAGCCATGATAAGGGTAATGCCTTGAATCGAAGTATTCCACAGTCACTAAACTAAAATGAGCACCTCCGACAACCTGTTCCATGTTTCTATCCTTCTCGGCCCTTTGGAAAGGACCTTAGACGCACTTTGAAAGAAACAGCCGTTTCATTTTCATCTCGTTTCCCTCTTGATTCCAGAATGCACAACAAATCCGATGATTATTCTCCGACTGAGCAGGCAAGGAGAGGCTAAGACTCTCGTCTCCCGCGTGCTGACGTTTGCAACGATGCGCGCTGAAACTACGGGGTCGAAGGACTTCTCCACAATCCGCTGGGGCTTCTCTTCGACGTGCACCTTCGACCAACTGCCCAGGACCCCCCGTGCGCTCGCCGCAATGATTGCAAGCTGCGAACGGCTGAGAAGGCGGAGAGTGAGTGTATTTTCGTTCCATTTTGAATCGTTTTTCTTTTTTTTTGAACTGCGCAAAAGTTTCTTGCCCATTTGCCAGAGTTCCTTCTTATGTACGGCCTGCTTTTATCAGAGACTGCTTACACATGTCGCAGATTCTTCGCTTTAATCCAATCGGCCTTGGGACAGATTTTAACGTGGGCAGATAGATCGGGAGCAATCTCGTGCGCCTTTCATTCCTCTTCTCTTTAAGTTTGCGATAACTGAACCGCCTTCAGGGCCTCACGTCTATTCTCGCCTCAAGATGAAAAGTGTTTTGATTGTACACGAACTCTCAAACAGGTGTCCTCGGAACTGCTGGAGTTCTTGACCTCGGTCGAGCGCCTTAATCAGTTTCTCTCGAAGACCAGCCCGCGTCTTCACCTACTCTACGTAAAGAAGCGCGCGCGGCCGGGGCATCTGCTGTTTGAGCGCTTCTCAGATACGATGGCGGAACACGTGGCAAACCTTGGAGGTAAGACGGGTCAGAATCCTAGAAAAGAAAGGAAGGCAGACGAGCAGACCAAAGAGCCTTGATACTAACGGTTCCCGGGCGGGTACCTGGGCTTGTCAAGACTTCCAATCATGATTCCAGTTGCGGTATAGATCCCACATAAATATATTCTTACCTTCGCGCTCTTTGAAAAAGAAAGCTATTTGCACAGAACAAATTGTGGTCAAAAGATTCAAAGGCCAAAGGCCAATTTGAATCCGAAAAGCACTCGAAGGTGCAGTGACTTTGAGGAATGAGTCGCAACGGACGTCAGTTTTATGCTACCGCTTCATCCGGCCTAAATCAGCGAGAAGCGGGGCACCATGCTACTTGATGTTTACAAAGTTAACAGAAAGCGGGCATCACTTTCCACACTTAGCTATCCGATGCTCTTCACCAACTTGATTTGCGCTTCTTTTCTGCATGCGAAATTTTGCAGATGCTCTTCAATCCCTCATGGGTTCCGGCTCCCCTGCCATTTCGCCGCTCACGTTCGCGTTCCACGGCACTCCGCCAATGAACATTCCGTCCATTTTGAAAGACGGAATGCTGCCGGAAATGAGGGCGTGCGGCCGCGGCGGGGACTGGTTTGCCACGTCACCTTCGACGAGCGTTTGGTACTGCCAGAAACACCTCTTATCTGAGTCTGGGCGGTGGAATGCGGTTAAGATGATACTATTTCTGCTGTTGCCTATTCCGGGAAAGGTGATCGGAGAATTCACAAATTCCGGTGTTATAGTGATGAACGATACCTATTACGAGCTTCCGTTATGCACCGTTAGTTTCAGACATTGTTAACAGGCATAACGATCAGCTACGCTAGGCTATCGCAGTTTCAAGACCAAGCAGGGATGCAGCCATCAGAGACATCAGATCATGGTGTTGTCATCATAAGTATTCATGTGCAAGAGATGCGGAAAATTCGTAAAAAAAAGGATTTGCGGGCAGCAAAAGGGAAGCAGAATAGCTTGTTCTTAGACGCATATGGACCGAAGCTGCTCGACCGCCAGTTACTTATTCCATTGCTCGTGAAAACACGGGTACTTCTACCAGCCCGGCACTCGATCTTCAGACCAGTAGAGCGGCTTTGTGGATCACAGATTATATTGCATCCCAGCCTAATTTACAACATCCCCTCACGCTCCTAGGCGTAATAAAGAATCGAATTCTCCCCCGAAGCACTGGCACGAGTCTTGCGATTGGCTCATGACACGCTACTCTAAATTGCGGCATGCTTGCTAAATTAAGTGCACGTCTTTTGCAGCGCAGAGAAGCAGTAATCGATAACATGGTGAATTGCTCGCAGCTTTGAAAATTGTTCAAGCTCAGATCTATGGACCGTCGGACGGTCATGGTTGGAATATTCCTTGTGCCTGTGAACGACACCTTGGTTTATTGGTTGCGCTACAGAAAGCTTTGCTGTCCAGTCACTTACGAATCCGTTCAAAGTTTTGATTCAGCGGGGCATTCATTTGACTTTTTTGTTGGCCTTATTTCTGCGAACGAAGCGTCTTTTACTCCAGCTCCGTTTTGAAACATAGAGCGACCAATTGAATGTCTCGTGCTCGCTCAGTGTCATGCCCGTGTTGCGGATGCCCATGCCAAAGAATTGCCCATCAATCCTTGCCCTTGGTTGCTTATTATCTCTAACGAAAGGAAGAATCTGTCGCTACATCATTGCTTCCAGCTTGGGACAGTCAGCACGAATACCCTAGTAAGTCGCTGATGCCGAGAAATGCTGCCAGATCATCCCCCGGTCACGAATGCTTTCGTGAGCAAACTCAGGGCGCGAGCGGGGATATGTGAACAAAACATCTCACTCAGAATGTTGTTTCTTTTGAAAGATTCTGATTTTTCAAATGCAATTATATGCAGACCAGCCCATGTGGTAGATCACCCGTTCGCCCATACTTTGAGCCATCAGGCAAGAGCGTGTTCAATCGAGACGCACTGGCGGGATCGGCTCCAGACGGAAAGGCCGTTTCTTTTACAAGGGCTCACGAATTGGGCTAGGAGAAGGCACTTAGTTGTCGTTTCGAATCCGACGCAGGGGGCAGCCTCCAATGAAGAAGCGGGGATCCAGTTGCGGAGAAAATTTCTATTACTCGCCAAAGCTTAGGCCGTGTCCGAGCGCCAGACATTGAAAGTTCTGATCAGGAGAAGTCAGACCGTGTCCACAGAGGCGCGAGGCGGAGAAGGGTTCCGCTCCAGAGGTAACGGCAGGACCGTTTCCGGAGCACCTCGGACCTGTCTCCGACGACGAAATGGCAACCATGGGATTGGCTGTTGGATGCTCGTATTTCGTAAGCTTTGTTCCGATCAAGAGGCGTCAACCTTGTCGGGACAGGAGACTTTCAACCGGTTTAATCGGGGCTGGCCATCTGTTCCTCAGCAAGATACTTCAGTTTCTCAATCAGGGGGCATCAGATGCTCCAGACACGAGGTTACGGACAAATCCAAGTCGTGGAAGCCAACGCTTAAACCAAGGAGCCCAGGGAACAGGGAGGGATCCCCCGGTCAGGAGAAGGGCCCTTTTTGGCGGCTGGCAGCGCCGGCTTCTAGCTATCTGAGGTTCGTTACCGGCTTCGTGCGCGCCAGGCTGCCGTCGAGGTGATTTTAGACAGCCCCGTTGAACCGCAGCCGAATCCCGACCCAGAAGGCATCGTAGAAAGGCGGCTTGAGCGCCCGGAGGACATAAACGAGGAGAAAATGAGCAAAACTGACACGGACGAGCGAGCGGGTGGTCGACAGGAAGTGAGCGCCGAAAGTATGAAACACTTCCAATCAGCGGGGACATGGGCTGTCACGGGCAAGGGGAGGAAGAAAACGATGCAGAAACGGTTCACTGGGGGTTCTGACCAAGCAGTACGGCGGGAAACGGAAAATGGAGCTGACGGTGGGTTGCGAAGTGAGCTGGTTACGCCGCTGAAGATTTAAAGTGCACTGAAAGCGACTATCGCTGAAGACCAGAGTAACATATTGTTGTGGTCCTAAAAGGATGGGAGAAGCAAGAATTTCAGTCCGGTCTCTTTCCGTGGGGTGACAAGTGCGGCTGATTCGGAGGAAGCCTGGTTCCTCATCACCGACAGCAGTATAAATACCCCCCCGGTACGTAGCCGGGGGGGATCTAGACTGGAAACCGGCTCGGGAAGGACGTGCTTCCCAAAAGGAAGAAGCAGAGCCCGGGGGATGAAGCCGAGGGAAAGGAGACAGGCGGCGAGACCAAGAGCGCACTGGCCGAATTTGCAGAGTCGGTGTCGGCTGACGTCAGCATTCACCAGGAGGAAGTTTGCAAAGGAAGCGATGGCGCCAGATCATCGGCGGGCGGCCGCCTGCCTGCAGACTGCAGTTCGGAGGGAGAGACGGGATAATTCTCAAGAAAGATAATAGTAAGCCAAGATAATAGTAAGCTCCGACTAACACTAAAAACCCTAACCTATAAGGAAACACCCGCTCCGCACCCGTACCCACCCTAACCACCTTACTAACCCTACCCGTCACAGTGCGGTTACCTTACTATTATCTGGGCTTACTATTATTTCTCTTGAGTTTCATAGAGACGGGTCCTCGGAGGCACAGAGTGAAGACGTCGCCCTTCTCACTGAGGCCTTGTGAATCGGCGATTTCCATACCGATCGAGAGTCACACAAGCGCGCAGCGGCCGAAAAGTCGACTGCAAAACCTTCGGATTCTTCAAGACCCCAGATCCGCCTGCATGGCATTTAGAAGCCTGCGCGCAGCTAGGGCTTCGAGTGACTACTAGGTAGCACAGACTCGCGATGCATGTCTGCCCCTTTCAATGATTAGCTTTTTAGGATGCGCCGCTTCAAAGCATGCCCGGTACGTACCGGGTGTCTTTTTGGCTACAGGTCTTAGGCGACCGGTGCGCACCGAGCCGGCAATTGCAGACGAACCATCTTGCAAACTCGAACAAAAAACTCGAGAAGTCGGCCCGCCTGATATGTGGAGATAGGCCCCAAAGTCGAAGACTCACCATGAGCGCATGGTGGCTGCTGCTGCTGCTGCTCCCCCTCTGCTTCTTGACATGGTGCTGCTGGCGAAGCGAGAAGGGTAAGATTCTTGCAGGAGCCTTCAGTGAGAGCTTTTCATCCTAGCAGCTAGCGCAATCATGTACGTCATCGTAAGTCTTCCTGCTCTTCTGCATCATCAACCGTGAACTTTGTTCAAAGTCCCTCACTTTTGCAGTCGTTAATAAGCTGCAATACGCCCACCTGTGTTCGAGAAGAAGCACGGAAAGCCACGAACAAGATGCTGAGGTGGCAACAGTCGTTGAAGCTCAGCTTTTGCTGGTTGATGTTGGGAACACTCCAAAAAGACCACAAAGTCGTGATTCTGAGGACCAACTCGTGGCCAACTTCGTAAGATCCCTACTAATGCAGCAACTTTGTTCAGAATCAAGCATCCTTGGTTTCGTCTGCAGCATGGGGATGAGTTTAGTATTCACATAGAATCTGGAAGGCTTTGCGGGTCTTGAAATGAAACTGAGCCTAGGAAGAACTTGGTAGGTCTGGCCAGCTGGCCGAAGATCCAGAACGTACTACTTTGTTTACAATGTTTGTTGTAATCTTCATTTCATCGCAACTGTCTCGTTCATTTTTGACAGACCCCTGTAAACATCCCGCCTTCGTATCCAAATGTTCCAGCTATCATCAGAACTCATATTTTCATTTTGCCTGGAGTTGAAAGAGGGAAAACTCTTTCTCAACGTGCCTGCAGCATCAGCGCCACCAATATTCAAGGGCAGCCCCAAGTTGGTCGTGCAATGGAAAGCGCCCGATTCAAAACTTTGGTACCAGTTTGAAGCCAGTGTTGGTCAAGCCATCCTTGCGGCCTGGGCAGCGGGACAGGAGACCTTTCGGCTGGAGGAGCCGCTTCCAAAGTTGCCGGCGCGGCCTCACGATGAAGCGGAGAAAACATCAGCACTGCCGGACGTCGTGCACAGGTACGCACGTTGGCGCAGGAAGGCGCGCGCAACAGCTGGTGCCTTACAAAAGCCAGTTTCTGAAGCTACGATGACATGTAACGCAGAGAATTTCTTCTGGCTTCTTTCGCTGCAGACTCTCTTCCTAAGAATTGTCTTTGACACTCGATCAATGAAGTTCTACTGTCGGGTGGGCATTTTCGAAAGCCATACTGAGAACACTTCCAACTTTATATCCATCAATAGTTACTTCGACATAGATCGGTCAGAATGTCAATGGTCGCCCTACTATCGTCAATGCTTGAGCGCCTATGACAATCTCTTCCACCTTACTTCCATTCTCAGGTCCCTCAAAGCAAATGAGCAATTCAAAAGGTAACCTTTTCGATTGTCCTGGTTCGCCTCTGCAACAAACGCAACGAGCTAACTCAAACCGTGCAGGCAAGAAGACGCTGAGCTTTCCAGCCCCGTGCTGACGTTCGGAACGATGCGAGCTGGGATTGAGGGGTCGGATGAATGCCACACATTCCGCTGGGGCTTCTCTTGGTTCTGCACCTTCGACCGGCTGCCCAGCACCCCTCGCGCGCTTGCTGAGATGATTGCAAACTGCGAACAAGCAAAAATGAGACTGGTGAGTGTCTCTCACTGATATCAATCTCAGTTGGTTATAAATCTGATCATTTGGTTTTCGCCCGTTCGTCAGTTCTCCCCGTCACACAAGGCCTCAATTCCACCGAGGGACTTGCTGATCCAGAGGGAAGCTTTCCTTTTTAATAAAAATTATGCTTTTGGAGAAGGTTTCTTCGAGTTGCAGATAGGTCCGGTCTTCCAGAGCAATCTTGTCTTTCGAACCTCTTCCATCTATGTCAGTTCCTTACTTTACACCTCGAATCGAACTGATTCGAACCCCTTGAGAATCTAATATCTTCCTCCTGCTCCAAATTCTGAACACATCTGATGTGCGCAAACTCTCTGGCAGGTTCTCTCAGAGTTGCTAGAGTTCCTGATTTCGACCGAGCGCCTCGATCGCTTCCTCTCCAAGACCAGCTCCAATCTTTCCGAGTCATTGTGAACGAGCGCGCGCGGCAGGGGGGTGCGCTGTTTGAGCGTTTCTTAGACGCGATGGCGGGACACGTGGCAGATCTTGGAGGTACGTGACGAGGTTTTGAATGAAGAGGGTTTTGCCAAAGAGAGAAAGAATGTCTAGAGCTTCACAGTAAATAGATCCTTATTATTGAATGTCTCCATCGGTCAAATCGCCCGCTTATATAAGTCTTCCTTAGACTCAGCCACTTTTGCACCCCTCGACCTCCGGGCAAGAAACTGCTTCCTTTCAGTTAGATGCTGTTTCAGTCTTTGCGCCTTGATTACGGAAGTGAAGAAAGTCTAATATAATACTCAGCCGCTCATGTTCAACCATTCGCCGCAGTATTTCAGGAGTCCTTTGTGGAGATCAGGGCACCAAGCATAAGGCAGTTGAAAACTGGCGCCGGGTGGTGAACATAAGTGTCTTCAAACGTGTCCTATTTACAAATTACTTGTTAACTGATTAGCGCTCTTTCTTGCGCCTCCATCCTTGCAGAAGCGTTTCGATCCCTTCTGGGTTACGGTTCCCCTGAGATTGCGCCGCTCAAGTTCGCGTTCCATGGCAATCCGCCTATAAACATGCTTGTCCTCAGTTGTCCGCTATCCTATAGATCTAGTGTCAGGCGCAGTCAGGAGTAGCGCCGCGCCACGAAACAGAGCAAAGCGCAAGCATTTGAGAGTTTGATGGAAAGCCTGACGCTTCTTGAATCTCGGCCTCCTGCAAACGTCGTCCATTATGAAGGAAGGAATGCTGCCGGAAAAGAGGACGTGCGCCCGTGGCGGGGGATTGGTTCGCCACGTCACCTTCGACAAGCGTCCCTTACTGCCGGAAACACTTGACAAAGGATTTGCGTACGGGGTACAACCCGGTTGCAATGATCCTCTTTCTGCTGCTGCCTGTCCCAAAGAACGTGATCCGAGAATATACAGATTCTCATATAATAGTAATGAACGATCCTTGTTACCAGCTGCCTGTATGCACTGTGTCTTACAGGCACTGGTGTTGATTGAAATTGTGTTCGAGGCAGAAGAGAAGTAGACAATCGTGCGGCCATGGATTGAAGAATCAAATCTGCATGTTTGAGTTCTCTCTCGGGAGACCAAACGTCCTGGAGACGTCGAGTTCTTGTACAAGGAGGATTGACACGCATCAAAAGGAATCATAAGTGGAGGTGGTCTTGTATGTACAAAGAATCGAAAAGCTGCTCTTATTGGTCCTTCTATTTCTTCCCGAAGTAACATTGCGGGAAGTTCTGCCAGCTCGACACGTCATATGCAGCTTTATTCATGAGATGGTTTGCAGGATCAAGATTGTTCCCTTTCAGCCGCATACCTCAACCCGGCCTGTTTACAGCGTCCCTCATGCTCCTAGGAAGACTAAGATAGAGTTTCTCTTCGAAGCATTGGAAACGTGCGGTAATCTGGCTGACACGCTACTTCAGATTGAGTCGCATTGGTGCTTGCGCGCACGAAGTTTTGCAGCGCGCAGAATTGCTTCTCACAAGCTAAAAGCTTACAACTTTTTAGAAAGCGGAAGGCCAACGTACATTTGATGAGGTCGACGCGTGCGTATCCTAGATTTTTACCTGGCTGTAGGCGAGGTTGTTATTTCACTACCTAGGATGTCCCGTTGCTTGTGAAAGCTGTCCAAGATCCAAGATCAGCGGGTACATTGAATGTTACCTCGGGGCCCTCCTTAGGCACATACAGACGAATTCGTTTTAGTCGTAGAAGCTACCAGCTGAACACTTGTTTAGTGTCATGCCCGTGCAGCATGCCCATGCCAATCACTGCCTATAATGTTGCCCGCAATTGGTTGTCAAACTCCGTCGAGACAACGAGTCGGTCACTGAGAGTGTCAGCACGAAAACATTAGAAAGCCGATGATGCACGAAGACAGCTTCCCAGGGATCCCCGGTCGCGAACGCTTTTGTGAGCAGACTGAGCGCGGCGAGCGTGGATGTGAGCAGGATTTCCTCCCTCGAAGTGTTGCGCCTCGGGCTCTCGGCCCTGAGCGTGACCTCAGCACTGCCCCGGCGATCGTCCTGCGCTCGTAACCGCGCCGCGCGCGGCTTCGCTCCCGAAGTTGCACTGACGGACTCTTCAAACCGGGATCTTGCTGCCACGTGGCACTTCGAGAGCTCTGGAGGTGCCAAGTGGAGCGCCACGACCCGGCGAGCCGCTCGCTCTCGCGCCCATGTGCTGGTCCACCAGGTGCGTGCTGCCGCGCGCGCGCACACGCCGCCGCTGCCCGCTACCCCGAGGCCAGGATCGCAAAGGCTCCGCGCCGGGACCTCCTTTGAGCTTCACGCAAAACAAACCCTCGAAATGGACTCTATTTCGAAGTGCAAAGCTGGTGATCTAACCCGCACGGGCGGGACGAGGGACAGGCCAGAAAGGGGTAGCCGAGAGGAGGGTTTGGAAAGGTCAGGACTCGTGCGCAAGCCCGGCGATTAGAGCCTGCCCGAGTGTCTGCGTCTGCATGCCTGGTACGTACCGGGCGTCTCTCAGGCTATTCGTCTCAGGCGACCGGTACGCACCGAGCTGTCAAATGCAGACGAATCGTCAACCTTGAACGAAACGTTCGAAAAGCCCTCGTACGACCTGCTTAATTGAGGAGATAGGGTTCGTCGTCGAAGCGACACCATGAGCGCGTGGTGTCTGCTGCTGCTGCTCCCCCTCTTCTTCTTGACATGGTGCTGTTGGGCGTGCTGCTGGCAAAGCGACAGGGGTGAGCTTTTTGGAAGGCCTCTTACTGCAAGCTTTGCATTCTAGAAGCCAGCGACGTTTATCTATGTCATTCGAGGTCTTTGATCTGCTCTTCTGGTGCTGTCTTGACCGTAATTTCATAGAGTATCTCTTACTTCTGTAGTCGTTATTAGCTTGAGAAGCGCGCGCGCGAAGTTCAAAGACGATTCTGAGAAGCAACAGCACAAAGGCCCTACTTTTGCTGGTTGGATCAAAGACTACCGTGACAATGTCTTGAAGGTCTGATGACATTCACGTGACCAGATATCGAATGATTCTCCAGTACTACAGCTCCTTGATTCTGATTTAGCAAATGAAGCATCCCTGCTCTCGTCTGTGGCAGGTTTGGGATGGGCTTTGTCTTTTTCAGAGCACCAAAAAGCTTTGCAACTCTTGAAACTTCGTTAAGATTGGGAAGGGCCGGGCTTGGTTTGTGTGGCTAGCTGGCTTAGCAAAGGGACCATGACTCAGCAAATGCAATTCTTCTTCATGTCATCTTTGATTGATTGTAATTGCTTTTGTTGGATCCCGATCACCCCTTCAGAATTTCTCGCCATTGTATATTCCGAATGTTGTCCACCCTGCTAAGCTTCATTACAATGTGAGTTCATTTGTTTGGTAACTTTGACAGAAGAAGTGGATTAAGAGACTTTATTTCTGAACAGTCCCTAAAATATCGTCGCCACCAAGATTCAAGGGCAGCCCCAGATTGTTTGTGATTTTGAGAGGGCCCGGTTCCAGTACTTGGTACAAGTGCGGAGCCACCGTTGGCCGAGCCATCCTTGCCACCTGGGCAGCGGGACAAGCGACCTTTCGGCCGGAGAAGTCACTTCAAAGGTCGCCGCGGCCAAACGAGAATAAGGAGACGACACCAGCGCTGCCGCACATAGAGAACAGGTGCGAGTGCCTGCGAGTACGCCTTACAGTAACTGGATTTCAAGCTAAGTTGACACGTGATGCAGAAAAGTGCTGTGAATTCTAGTCCGCTGCGAACCCTCTTCGCTAGAACATTCTTGTACGTCGCTGGCGTCAAGCTTAATGCCGAGGGAATCTGTATTGAGAAAGCGATCCTGAACACACGTCCAAAATCCATGGTGGTTTTGCTTTCCGGCCTTGGAGTAAATCATGATTTCCTGGTCGTTCCAGTTTTGCTTCTTGAGCCCCTTCGACGAATTTTTCTATCTTACTTTCGATTGCAAAACAAATGGCCAGCGACGCAATGGAGATGAAAGATGAGCTTGCTCAAATCGTGCAGGGAAGAAGATGGTCAGCTTTTCAACCCAGTGCTGACATTCGAAACGATGCAAGTGGAAGTTGAGGGATTGTGGGACGAACGCTACGAATTTCGCTGCGGCCTCACTTCATTGTGCACCTTCGACCGACTGCCCAGGACTCCGCGCGAGCTCGCCAAAATGCTTGCAGCCTGTGCCCGGGTGAAAAGGAGACAGGCACGTGCATTTGAACTTTCTCCTGGCTTCCTCTGGTTGACTGTCGACAATTTTGGGCGCTGGCGTCAGAACTCCCTTGAGTACTCCTTGTTGTGTGTGGCCTAATCACTGTCAAGGTCGCTATATTGTTGACGTTTGCTCACTTTCAGATCTCAGCGTTGGACATGGTTCATGAATTTACGAGTCAAGCATTTGATCAATCTTATCTTCCATGCACTAATGTTCGAGCCTGCAGTGTTGCTGGCAACTGCTTTCCTTTAGTGCTTCACCTCCTCCCTCTCTTGAACTCTTTCCGTGTGCTTTCATTGACAGGTTCTCTCAGAATTGCTCGAGTTTCTGATTTCAAACGAGCGGATCGACTGCTTCCTTTCCGAGACCGGGTCCAGTGTCTCCCGACTAGCTGTGAACGAGCACGCGCGGCCGGGGGGTTTGCTGATCGAGCGCTTTGTAGACGCGATGGAGGGGCACGTGGCAGACCTTGGAGGTAGGTGATCCGGGGTTACAAGAAGGTTATCCGGAAAAGGATCAATGATTGAGTCTTGACAACCCACACGAAGCTTCGTGCTCGTGGAGGCATGCGCATGTGAGTGTAGAGAAACTCTTTTACTTAAGATATTACGCCACAATCTCCCGAGACACGAATCAGTGCGGTCACCTTCTGCGAACAGAGATGAAGCTTGCTTAGGGATTCTATGATTCTAATCATCCTGATCGACTACATTCAAGAAAAACGCCTATCCCTACGCGTTGATGAAGAGGAGAGCTTACAAGCTTGAAACAGCGTCTTATCCGTCTAAGATCGTATGCAGCCGCTTTGAATTTCCGTACCTTAAGTTATCCAGGCTTCTGTTTATTCGGGGCACCATGCAAAGGTCTGACGTCATAAATAGTGACCGATAGCGGACACAGAAAGTTCTGAGGGTTCTCAAAATGTCTCTCGTAAACGAATCTGCGCAATCTGTTCCTCTTGGGTCCTTTTGCAGATGCGCTTCAATCCTCCATGGGTTCCGGCTCCGATGCGATTGCGCCGCTCCAATTTGCGTTTCACGGCACTCCGCATGTAAACATTCCGTCCATTCTGAAGGACGGAATGCTGCCGGAAAGAAGGGCGTGCGGAAAGGGCGGGGATTGGTTCGCCACATCGCCTTCAACGAGCGTTCCGTACTGCAAGAAATACAATGCGCACTTAAAATACCGTTTTGAACTGATCCTCTTTCTTCTGCTGCCCGTTCCAAGCAAGATAATCCCACAGCATACAGGTTATGGTGTTATAGTGATGGATGATCCGGGTTACGAGCTGCCATTATGCACGGTTGCGTACACTGGGTACTACTGACATTGTGCCCTTAAGGTCGCTAGGCGCGCGGAAGCTCTTGCGTCTGGGGACAAAACATTCATGTAGACATCAAAACCCATTGCACTGATTTCAGACGTGCTAACCTGAGGTCTCTTGTTGAGAACGAAAGTCGGATCCCGTCATAGTCACGGTAGTATGGTGGACTAGGAGCAAACAGGAAGCGTCAGTACGGGTTTTGTTTTATGTAGAAATTATGAAGATGCTGCTCTGCCCAGTCCGTCTACAATGTTAATATTCTTTTACTATTCAACCATGGGTAATCCTGCCAGCTCGGCACTTGTTCATGCAGACCATTTCGATAGCCTTCATGTAATCAGGAATGTTTGCAGTCCAGCCGTTTACAGCGCTCTTTCACAGGCTTAATCAAAGCAGTGAAGAAGCGAATCTGAATAGCGCCATAGCATCATGTGATCTGGCTTCCACGCTACTTCTCTTTAATCGCATTCTGCTTGAGCGCACGGCAGTAGAGCCGTTTTGTGGTAAAATTCTTGCAGCTTTTCGAGACCGTATGACGCAACTTTCGATGAGGCACGATGCATGCGAAAAAGTATGGATTTGGATCAGGAAGAGTTCTTGTGGCTTTGAATCGATCGTAATTCTGCTCTTGATGTCAAGTCCGAGTACGCTCAGAAAGCCGGCCGTTCAAGACGTCAGATGCAGCGGGGAGATTGTCTTTAGTCTTGGGCAGGGTTTAGACTGGCATGGACATGCGTGCACAGGCGGCACGGTGGCGCGCGAGACCTGAACTGGTCGCATAAACGTTTCAAAAATATGTTGGGCATAATCGACGCTCTATTTGCAGAATGAACAGGGGCCCACAATATCTAAGATTAGCTTGCAATTGATTATATAATTGCAAGCCTGCGGCCTAATTCAGAGGGGCGTCAAGTGACTCGTAACGCCTCGGCGACTGTTTGCCAGTACTTTGAGTCGCTACCCGGCGCGGTACCACATGATTGATATTCCGGTGACAGATGTGCACAGTGCTGCGAAGAATTAACCGCCGCGGAACCACGTGAACAGAGGCCATCAAGGCGACGTCATGGTGACAGCACCTCAACTCTGGTTGAGCGCAGCTCGCGTCAAGGTAAGACTTATAAACCCCACGAAAGCGGTTTAGTCTTTAGCTGCGCCCCGCTGAAGAACTCTTGCCACCACCACATGCGCTTTGCAAAGCAGCGGCGCAAGTCTGTGTAGCACATCTACAGCAGCACAGGTGAGCAATATGGCGATGTGCGCAAGTACTTGATGCTGGGAGAAGAGAACCTTCGCAAAGCATGCGTTTGGGTACATTCCTTCGTCATGTGCTTCGTGACTTTGTTCAGGACATTTGGTGGTTAAGGCGCCATGAATATACTCTGGCGCAAGGGGGTCCGAGCGAGCCAGCTAACTTGACCAATTTTGATTCCTAAGTCGAGCACATAAGCAGCCGTTGGTTGGAGCTTTTTCGGACGGTCACATAAACAAGCGCGATTGGAAAATTCCCTCAACGACTGTTGCTAGCTGATTCCAGGCTGAAGACTGACCATTCTCTCAACGTTTTCAGTTTGTTCTGCACACGAACCTAGAATACAAGTTTGCTGGGGTGTTAATGCACATAACGAAATGATTCGAGCTCTCATCTGGTTCATTGGAAAGTTAGCAAGCTTATTTGCCTCGAGAAAAATATTCTTGCAATTGGACAGTGCAGTCGCAGACGCAGTGCATCTCACAGTTCTGTACATTCTCTTGCGCGCTATATTGCATTGGAGGGGCGTTGAACAAACTCAGCCTTTTCAGTCTACACTTGGCTCAACCCGTACATTCCGGCTTCTTCGATGAAGAATCCAAGGATGCTGTCTACAATTGCGGCAACAGCATCGCTCATTCATTGAAGGTTTGACTGCCAAAGATTCCCTCTCCGGGCATTTTGAGCAGGTGGTCTGTCAACGCGTGACTTCAGGCAAATCATGCATCTTAATTAGGGGACACAATTGCTCAATGCTGTTTGGAGCGGCTTTCAATGACCAGTACAATCTTTCTGGAGCTGGACTATCGTCTCGATTTCAGCAACAACCCGTAACCTCTCCAATCTCCTAACAGGTCTAGATTACGTCATGGTGAGGGCTTCCAAGTCACCGCCACCTGTCAAGAGCGGTCTCCGCCTGAACGTCAGCTGGAGAGCACCCCATTCAAGGCAATGGCAGCCATACGAGGACAGCGTCGCCCGAGCTATGCTCGCGGCGTATGCTTCCGGGCGGGCGACCTTCAAGGTGAAAGAAGCAGTGCGGCGGTCGCCCCGGGTGAAGGGGCTCCAGCCGGCGCGGACGACGAAGCGCGGACAGAGAAAGACGAAGCGCGCGCGCGCAGAGGCCAAGTAAGCCCGCTCTGCAGAATGATGTGTCGGCGCCTTTAAGGTCGTTTGTGCTGCTGTCAAAGTCAAAATCTTGTAAGGCCCAATCGATCAGACCTCGAAGCTATCTGAACCTTCTCATTTCGCCTTGGTTGCCTGTTTAATATATGTATCTTTGGTCCGAAGAAAGAAGATTGTCTAAATACGAAAGTCCCTGATTGAAAGAGATCGATCTGACTCTTCAAGATAGGGAAGAGTCAGAAGTAAACAAGAGAGGTTCTTTCCGAGATCAATCGTCACGACGAGTTGTGGGCCTAACGTGTCAGCCAGTAGGGCACGTGTTCATCAACTGGTAACCTCCAAAAGTCAGCTTGGCAAGGAAAAGAAGACGAACTTGATCAACCGCTTGACAGTCTCATTCAGACCAAGATAACTTCCTTCCAATGCAGGTACTCAAAGCCCGTGAGCGAGAATCGGTTGCTTACGTTCGCAACCATGCGGGACGGCTCTTCGTCGTCGAAGGCCTTCCGCGCCATCCGCTGGGGCTTCTCTTCGACGATCATCTTCGACCGGCTGCCCAGCACTGCGCCTGCGCTCGCGGCCATGATTGCGGAGTGCGGAGCGGCGAAGCAGAGACAGGAAAGTGAAGAAATGGTTTGGAGCTTCCGCGCAACATACGTTCTGATCAGAGAGCTCTTACGGCTATAAGGTCTCAGATAATGACGCTTCCTGGGCGTAGAAGTTTTCGAACGAATCGGGATCGTTTTGTGATCAGATGTTTTTCTTTCCTGCGTTACTTTCCGTTCCTCTTGGACCAACCCCACCGAAAGGGTTTTGAACCGTGGTGCACTTGGGTTATCTTCTGTAATGCCCGACATGCGACTTTCTTTTGAACATCCGGTCTTTGCGTGCCTCCCGAATTACATGATCCAATCTCTGCCCGGAAATCATGCAATACTTCAATCCAGTCTCGATAAGATGCTTCATCCGAACTTGTCCTATTATATTCAGATTGGTTCCTGAGGAGGCTTACTGCAGCCAGCCTGAAACGACTGCTGACTATCTCTCTTGGTCGTCACGGAGGTCCTGAACTTTCTCATCTCGGAAGAGCGCATCGACAGCTTCTTACAAGAGGTGACCGAGGGGCCCCTCCTACAGCCGTACAATCACAGCCGTGGAATTGACAAAGTTCAGCTTTCCCGGGTTGCTATAAACAAGCAGGCGCAGCCTGGGGGTGCTCTGTATCAGGGCTTCCGGGGCGCGATGAGCGGACACGTGGCAAAGCTGGGAGGTACGTGAGAGCGCCTCGTTAAAGGAAACGGCTTTGCTTTAAAGTTGAGCATGCAGAGAACCTGATTTCTTTCCGCAACTCAAAGGGGGTTTGGAGCATGGGGTGACGGCTGAAGTTGATTGACTTTCATTGTTCGACCTTGGACTTCCGTGCTTTGCCCTGCCTTTTCTGAATGAGCACTGTCTCGTTGAATCTTCCTCTGCTTGAAGACGTCTCGTCGCATTTCTTGCGTGCTCCGACAATCATTTGTATAAATGCAGCTGCTTTCCGAACGCTTATGGGCGCCGCCACCCCGTCTATCGCTCCGCTCACCTTCGCCTTCCACGGCACTCCGCCCGCCAACATTCCGTCCATCCTAAAGGACGGAATGCTGCCGGAAAAGAGAGTATTGAGCGGATCAGACTGGTTTGCCATGTCTCCGATGACGAGTACAGGCTACTGTCGCAAAGGCCAGCCTTATGATGCAGCTCAGGCGCCGCAGCAGCATCAGAGGTTCAGATTGATTCTCTTCCTGTTGCTTCCTGTTGGATTGGCGGTCTCTCCGCGATATCTAGGTTATCAAGGAGTCGTAGTAATGAATAACGTGCATTACGAGCTGCCGTTGTGCACCGTCGACTTCTCGTACCGAGTCAAGGGACAATCTTGACAAAGAAAGCAACAGGTCTGCAGAGCACTGACTTACATAGCTAGTAGTCACAAGGAGTGGCACTGACTTACAGAGCTATTCTTTACAATGAGGGAGGCCAAGCAACACCTTAAGGTAGCTTCACAATTGTGATAGGTACCCTGAATTTCAAGGCATCGCATTGCCATGATTGTATGCTTTTGATTCCATCCTCATTCACAGCTAATCATCGCACATGGGCATGGCTGAAGAGTTTCACGGATTGACGAAAAACGAGAAGACGAGGCTTGCTTTGTCATGAGGAAAGCTAGTGTGTGAATCAGGTCGATCAAGCATATAAGCTATAAAAGCATATCGAAGACCAAGACCGGACAAAGAACGTTGGCAATGGAAGTGATGACAACGACACTGAAATCGGAAATAGATTGAACGGGGCCATCTCGATCATGTTTAGCGGGACGTTCGGCCAGACGACGTACTCGGGGCCTCGCCGTGTTTTCCTTGAGTTCTGTATTGGTTCCATTGATCATGTGCATGCATCAAAAAACCCCGCGCGCGCAATCGGGGTAACCATGAAATGGAGCGCGCGCATGACCGGCCCGGCACGACTGCCGCTGTAGGATGCGAGCGCATGTCAGTGCAAGCTCAATTTCATGTGCGCCCCTCTAATTCGCCTTCATTAATCAAAGCAATCCTGACCTAATGACCCCGTAACCTGCAACATAGTGCAACCCGGTGCGGCATTTCATAAATTGTATGTTACAAGCGCAGCACATGAGCCGGTGCATGCGGCCGCCGCGACGTACAGGCTTAGTCAGATGTACGTATCTGTACAATTGGAGCTAGCATGCATGCATGCGCCCAAAATGTATAACATCTGATCAACCACTTCAAAATCAATATATGGTGTGCCGCATGCATTGTCTTGTGCCAAGCTGGAAACGTAGCTCAGAAATCAATCATTCATCGCATGCAGATCGGATGGTCGTTATAGTATGTTTCTGAGAAGCCACTTTTAAGATCATGCATACACTATGCCGCCAGGAACCTTCAGCTCACGACTGTGTTGATTCCTATCGTACGGTGTCTGCACCATCTTTTTGATATTCCGCACTCTATAAAATACTTCTCGACTTGTCACTTTCCTTCTGAACCTGCCGTCGAGCACCTTCTCCGTGACGTCATCCCCACTACTCTTACGTAGTGCGAGCGCTGCCTCGCGCACGTCGACCTTCCCAAAGTCGACTGGTAAGTCGTCATCGATGCTTGCAACCAGGCGCTGGAGGGCCTCACTCGCGCGCACTAGCTGCTCCGCTTGCCGCTGCGGAGAAAGGATGACGTCGGCTTAGCCTGTGATCACCAGAGGTACGTCTTGGCAGCTCTTATTGACTTAAGAAGAGATGACTTTGATAGAGATGGCCAACGGCAAGGTAGCAACCTGGTCGAACACGTGCAGCGAGAAGAGAGTTGCCAGTTCATTGCTTTATAGAGCAGAGCACAAGTGAGCCGAACAGGGTGACGTCAGAGCAAGGTCGAAGACTAGCTGACAAGAGCGAAGACAGCTTCAGCTTTGCAGCAAAGCCAATCACGGGAAGTCTTGAGAAGACGGCAAGTCGGTCCTTACAATCGTGCTGCGGCCTCCTCAATTGCACCTAGAGGAGCAACCTAGAGCAGTCTCCGAAAAGTACTTCCGTGCTGATGGCCTGGTTGAAACCAAGAAGCGTCTCACTACGGGATTCTAAGATTCGCTCAGCTATGCTAGCGGTTAAAACACACAATCTCAAAAATGCTTTCAAAGGCTCCTGCAATCAGCCCTTACCTGTTTCACCGCCCGTGAGATGCCCTCCGCTGCCGCCACCCCCGCACCAACAATGTTTAACAGCGCCCGCTCTCCAGACCGACTCCGTCCCGAGCACACGTGGCGACCCGCCGTGCGAACACCTGGCGCCAGCTGTCGGGTACCACCACTCGCTACTTAGGTGCCCGCTCTCCGTCCAGCCGTCGGCGGCGCTCACCACCTTTACGACCACGACAGCGCCCGCAGCGGCGTCCTTGGAGCGCTCCACGCCTGCAGCAATCGGAATTGTTACGTCATGCTGACGTGGCAGGTACAGAAGGACGTCTGCTGGCAACAATCTCGACCCAACGGAAACTCCTGTGACAAGATTGACTCTCCTCAGGAACGCATTGCAGGACAAAATGAGTTTTGGATTCAGGAAGAACTCCCACTTTTGCAACAAATTCACAGAAACAACCACGGACGACAGTAATGAGCACGAAAGGAAGCGCGGTCGGCTGTATGTCTCACACTTGAGGAGTCGAGAGTCGCTCAAGAGTGGGGGCCTTGTCCCAAGACCGTGAATGAAGGCCCTATTTGACTTTGTCAGAAGCGAAGGCTATTTGCTGCGTCCAAGTCCCAGAGGACCGGCCTAAAGCGGGGAGTTCACGACAAACAATTCTTCTCTTCCAAGATCAAAGCCAACTCTCTTTCGTACAGCAGAACATGCAGAATTGCCGTTGTCACTCACCTGTCTGACGTGGATCGGATGCAGACCGTGTTCAGCAGGTACAGAGGGATCCCCCCGACCGACACCGCTGCCTCCACCACGTCCAGAGTGATGCCAGGAATGTCGGTCACCATGGCCCGGTCACTCTGCACCGGGCAAAGAGCAATTTGATTAAATACACCGGAAAGATGAGGAAATGTGGATAAGCTTCTTTTCGTCAACGGCAATTGACCACGATTGCCTACTCCCTGCTCACCGGGCACAGGGGCGGAATCGGATTTGTCGCGCGGTATGCGCCTGTTCCGCCGGGCGAATCGCGTGAGGGACGGATGACGTCGAAAGGGTCCTGAGACTCATGTTTCCGCGGTTCAGAGAAAGAGGACAAGAAGCGCCAGGAGGTAGGTCATAGAATTTCGCCGGCTGCGGGCTCTGAGGGTCAAACAGAGCGGCAAGAGAATGTCTAGTGACATTGCCGAGGTGAACGGAACGAGAAACAATGGGGTTTAGTATAGCAATTCAATGCATTCAATGCCAGAGCAGCGTTACAAGGTCAAAGCAGTGTCTTTTCAGAAGCGTCTTTGAGTGCGGCCGGAAGACATGCGGAGCGTGTTTGTGAAAGTCATAGAGGGCGCAACTCATGTGCAAACCCGCGCAGAAGCAGTTTGGTCTCCCAGCCCAAGTGCCCTTAAAAGCTGCGGGCGATGATATAGACGCACGGAACACAAAGCAGAAGCAAAAGGTGCACCCGGGAGTGCTATGCAGAGAAGAGTAGCCCAGATCGCATTGCATTTGCACAAATTTCTGGAGAAGAAGACTCAAACAGGAACATAGCACGGGTTTGATCTGGTCGACGTCATTAAAGACGTAGACGTTTGGTTCCAGAGCACGAGCTCAACATGGTCGAACTCCGCCGATAGCGAGAAAGGGAAGAGAAGCGCTTAGAATCTACTGGAGTGCTTGAGCTCTTACTGGCCGTTCGTGAACCTCTGGAAAAGTGTAGGCTTATCGCGTTTGATCTCTATGCCGCCGTCCGGGATTGAGATGGTCGAAGCTGCTCGTACGCAGCACAAACATATCTCAGTCTCTCTCCAAAGCTAAGGTTTTTTGGCAAAGCTGAGACCCCTGAAAAGTCCTGAGCACAATCCGGCGTTGCTTATGGAGGTTCGTCTGATGCAGCCCGCAGTTGCTCATAAGGATTCAAGTGACTGGCAATAAAGAGGTCTTACTTGCACTGTCAACAACGGACTCTCGTCAGTCTGGGTCGTGCGCGCATTGATGAGGTCGGCGATGCCCTCCGCTTACGTCAGGTCGAGACGGCCGTTCAGGAAGGCCCTCAGAGTAACCTCGCCTGCATGTAAAGCAAAGCAGAGCATGTAAAAATAAATCTGTTCTCTTCTTTCTTACGTCACAAAGTGATTGTATTGGATAAAGAGGCCCAAGCTATGCTGTGGAGATTCTCGGCTTGGAACCAAGACCACCGTGTGTCGGAGTGCGGCTGATATCCAGAGAGGATAGAAGCAGCTTGACAGAGAGGAAAGGCAGAAACAGGGAATTTTTTTTGATAGAACGGTTTCAACCAATTGAGGATCATAAAGAAAAAGGGCGCCGCACACTACTTTGCTTGTAAACCAAGTGCTCACAGCCTTCAGGGCCGCCTCTCATATCTACCGCACACATCTCCCCATTGGCTGGAGCAACATGCGGCGGCAGTGCATTTACGTTGGGACTCCGCCCCACAGGCTGGCAGCGCCAGGTGACCATGACGTCAGCAGGCCTCATCTGAAAAACGAAATGCGCAGGTAAGTCTTGCGGTGCAGGTAATGACGTCACTGCAGTCCTGTCAGGGGGACACCGATCGTAAGACTCTGCAAGGATCGGGTTTGTACGAGATCTGCAAAGGTTTGAAAGGTTGGCAATCTGCAAAAAGTTAGTCAACGGAGCGCGTGGTCCACTAATCTCGAGATCTGTTGAGATAGGCCAAAGTGGAGAGCAGCAATCCGGATTGGAAAAATGAATGATAAGGAATAGGAGGACTCAAGCAATAGAAAATGAAGGTACGCCCAGTCTCTTTGTAAGGAAAATAGTGAAAATGATATACAAAATTCCAGAGAGTCTGATGCAAGCTCTACCACATTTCAGCCAACTCAGGTTAGGCAGTACTTCCAGAATGTCTGCTTGACTTCTTGCAACATTGGCATGACAGGATTCGACGTAGGTGATTTATCGTGGCGTTAATCTAGTACTGAAAAAGAAGTTGGCCTCCTACCTGTGCATACTCAATTTGACATTGAAGGCCTTGGCTCAGCGTTTCGACTACTCATATGATGCAACGAAACTGCATGTGCTCTGGTTTACGAAACCAATTCTCTGACCGGCCCCAAAAAAACATACCTCCCCACCACACGAGTCCTAACTGCCTACTAGACATGTGATACTACTTCGCAATTGCTATCTGCAATTGTACCCCTCACCTTATTCAACAGTTTGACAGGCCTTGTGGATACCCGGCGCCTGTATGCCTCTTTGTTGGAGCTCTTTCTACAAGCCTTACAAATGCTGTCAAGACCGTCACGGGAAACCGTCTCGCTAGCAGATGACTCTACGGGCTTGTTGACTTTGCACCGGGTGCACATCTTATCTGTCCTCTTTACATACACCTGTAACTTTCTGACGTTATTTCTAAATCCTTCCAAAAGTTCCAGATGACACAGTCTGCAAACCGAGTTCAACCCATTCCTTTTTGATCTGTTCGGAGGGAAATCTGCAGCGGGCTTTTCCAGCCCACACTGAATGCACGTCGCTGAGTCAGCAGCAGAGCGGGCGGGCAATCGTTCATGACGTTCACTTACACAACTCCGGCAATACGTGTACAAGCCATCCTTGCGTTGTGATTGACGTGGGAAATCCCGCAGCTCCTGAACCAGACTGCACTTGGTGCATTTCTTTGCTTGTGCCCACGCTTCAGCAATCGGCATTGCAAGGTGATGAAGTTCCCTTCCCGCTTGCTGACCCCGTAGCTTGGTGTCACACGCTCGGCATAAGATGTGTCGCCCATCGACAGCGCTCGCCAGCTTCTTAAAATTCCGAAGCGGCTTCCACACCTCGCATTCTGTGCACAATTTACCCTCTGTACGGCTGTTAGCCGCAACCACTCCTTTGTCTACACATTGGGCCTCCTCGGTTTCCGCCCCATCCCTAATCTGTTCTCCAGAAGTCTCGCTAGTCCCATGATCAGCAGTGGCCGCTGTTTGACACACCAACACCTTCTTCCTCCCCACCAGACTAGAGATACCTCCGAGGACAAAGACGTCGGGATGATGACCAGAAGCGGCTTCCAAAGGACGGCATCGGCAGTGCAATCCTCCACAAGATGAGACAGCCAGTGGCAACAGTCGGCACAGGCCACTCTGCTCGCTCCTCCCTGATGTAGTGAGTCTTCTAAAGCAGGTCGACGCTTTGAGTCCCCCAATGCTACGAAGGGCATCTCCTAGGGGCGACGCTCGTGAGCAGACCTCACTTCCTGCGCAACCTGTCCTCAACAGCTGCACGGTTCTGACCAAAGGACCTGCGACAGCTGGCATTGCAGCGGGCAAACCAAGAGGACTTCCGCAAGTAGGAGGTGGGGCGCGGGACTTTGACCTGGTTCGCAGATTCGCTGGAACCATCACGCTCTGTAGCTGAGCGCCGATCGTGGCCATGATGAAAAGCTGGAAGTGAAAGGGACGTCTGTCCAGTCTGAGTGATGAAGCCTTGAACTTGGAACTTGAAGTTCAAGTTGAAGGGGAGCTAGCGCTCTAGCGCTCTAGCTAGTGAGAAGCGCACGACCCTTGCAAGGGGGGGCAAGCTGACTTCCGAGACAGCTGAAACGGTACTAAACTTCTGAACACCCATCCTGAAGCGTGGATCAGAGAGTTGGAAACCGGCATGCAGAACCCGGTACAGCAACGTGCCGGCGCGACGGCAGAACCCCCATCCGGGATAGACCTACAGATTAGGCCGGCCGGTAGCTAGGTCATAGCCCGGGGAACGGGTAGGGTTAGTTTGGAGGAGGGTGGGTACGGGTGCGGTGCTCAGCGGGTACATGTGTTGGTAAATTAGGTTCTTAATTCGTTTTCCCCCGGGGACTGTTACTATCCTACCAGTAGGAGTTACCCCAAAGTCAGAACACATGAACGTTTTGCGCGCGTGCGCATGCATCAAATCCACGTCGGGGTTTGCACTGCAGTCTCCAATGCCCAGCTTCTGCATGAGGTGCTGTGCCAGGAACTCGCACGCGACTTTGAGTTGGCCAACGAACATATTAAATGGATGACCGAATCGTTGTCAATGCTGTACTACTGTCCTTGGCAGCAGCCGTGGCCGCCTCCAGTCTTGTGCACTGGCGGCGGAGGCATCATGCACCCTCCACAGATTTATGAAAACTCGCGCCGCCCGCAAACTCGCGCCGCCCGGATTAGATCCCACTGAGGCATGCATCAATGATGCACATAAATGGTCATCAAGTTGACTTGTTAGTCGACAAGCCACAAGTGAGATTGTAGAGTACACCATCGGCCTGCACCAGCCTTGAACCTGCAAGCATCTTCATGGCAATTTTCGCACCCTATTCGTTTCCTTCGACCTATCACTTCCCAATGCAGAACCTGCTGAAGATGCCGTCAAGCACCTCTTCCGTGACGTCATCCCCACTGATCCGACCCAGTGCGAGCGCCGCCTCCCGCACGTCCACCGTCCAAAAGTCAATTGGGAGGTCGTCTTCAATGCTTGCAACCAGGCGCTGGAGAGCCTCGCTCGCGCGCACGAGCTGCTCCGCTTGCCTCTGCGGAACGTGGATGACGTCAGCTTAGCTTATATAACCAGAGGTGACTTCCAGCAGCACTATTGACGTCACGAGATAGTGGCCAATGACACGGTACACCATGAATCCTTCGTGGTAGGTTGCACGCGGGAAGTGCAACTTATACAATCAAGGCGAAAGTAGCTTGGGTACCAACGTCGAAATGATTAGCTGTGTCGAAAGCTCAGACTTGAACTCTCATACGAAACGAATACGCAAGATTATTGTTATTCTAGGTTTGACTGGAAAGGCCTCCGCACAAGCGCAAAGACTGATGCCCATGCTGCCTTTGGTAGACCCCCCGGATCGGCGCTGACGTCACGATTGGAACCGCCAGAGAGCGTCTCCGTGTGTGCTCTCAAGACCTGCCCAACTATGCGGGAAAACAACAGGCACTTCCAGTAATACTTTTAAAAGCTTCGGAACGCGCTCCTTACCTGATTTACCGCCCACGAGATGCCCTCCGCTGCCGCCTCCCCCGCGCCCTCGATGTCGAGCAGGTACACGGGGATCCCCCCCGACCGACACCGCTGCCTCCACCACGTCCCGAGTGGTGCCCAAGAAGCTGGTCACCATGCCCCGGTCACTGTGCGCCGGGCAATGAGTAAATTTGATGAAATACACCGGAAAATCAATAGTGAAAGGAAAATTTAGCTTTCTTTCGTCATCAGCAGTTGATTACAATGTGCGTGATCCTCTGCTCACCACGCACATGAGGGGCGGGCTCAGGTATATACACGCGGCATAGACCTGTTCCACCGGCCGAATATGCATGAAGCAAGGATGACGTGTGAAGGGTCCCTAAGGATCCTGTTTCCGCGCTTCAGAAGAAGACAACAAGATGCGCCAGGAGGTGGGTTGGAGAAGCTTCGCCGGCTGTGGGCTCTGAGGGTCAGTCTATTGACATTGCTAAGGCAGACGGACCCGAATACGACGGGCTTTATAATAGCATTTCAATGCATAGAAGGCCAAAGCAGCGTTATACGGCCACAGCAGAATGTTTTCAGAAGCGTCTTTTGAATGCGGCCGGAGGACGCCTCCACAAATGAGATGCGTTTTTTGAAAGTCGTAGACGCTGCCAGGACGCAGCCCATGTGTGAACTCGCACATAAGCAGATTGGAGTCCCAACATAATCGCTTCGAAAGCTGCAGGCATTAAAATGACCGAACGGAACACAAAGGCAAACGTGCACTTAGCAGAGCCACGCAAGAGAGATTAGTAGCCCAGATCACATTGCCTTCGCAAAGACTCATCGGGAAAGACGGCACTCACAATGCGGAAAACCGGAAAGTCACTCGACGCCCCTCACCTACTTGCCCACGTTGCGCCGCTCAGTGATTGCGACGCGCATCCCCGCCTGCAGCAGCCGGCCGCGAGATGGTGTGAATGTGCTCAATCAGTGCCGGGAAGTCAAACGGCGGCAGCTCCTCGTCGAAGTCCAGGCGGGCCTCCATCTCGAGCAGCAGGTCGATGCACTCGGCGCAAAGTGCAGTCACGAAGCTGGAGAGGCCGCCTGAAAGGGGAGCGGCGGAGTTGGTGAGAGCGCTGCGTACGGCGGCTCGATTTGAATGCTTCGAGTCGCATCTTTGATGCACTCGGCACGGAGTGACGTCGCAGGGCCAACGAGGCCGCGCTGGGAGAGACGAGAAGCTCGTTGCGCACTGGTCACGGCAGGATATGAAACGGCCTTTAAAACTCACTTCCAGTGCCCTCGGCGTGTAGCGACGGTACGAAGCTGGACAGGCCGCGTTGACGGAAGACAGAGATGATTCAACATCGAGCACTTTACCGCAGATAAGAAAGTTCCTGTGTGCATGACTTTCAGGATTAGCACCAGGTTTTGTAGTTTGTATAAACCCAGCGCGTCATGACAATTTGAAGGTGTAGGAATGCGCTGATGGGAGGAAAGAAGAAGGTTCCTTCTCGGAGCAAATCGTACGGCCACTGGAAGCGACAGAATTTTGCACTCATCCGAGGGAGTGCATTTGCGTCGGCCACCCCCACCCCCAGGCTGGCACCGCCAAGTAAGCATGACGTTAGCAGGCCTCATCTGAAAGAGAAAAGGCGCAGTGAGTCTTGCAGTGCAGGTAACAACGCCAGCGTAAATCCTGTCAGCGGGACACCAATCGTAAGCTCTACAAGGATCGGGTTTGTACGAGGTCTGCAAGTTTGAAAGGTTGGAAATCGGCAAAAAGGTAGTCAACAGAGTACGGGGTCCATGATCCTGAGATCTGTTGAAATAGGCCAAAGTTGGAGAGCAGCCATCCGGATTGGAGGAATGAATGGAGGTATAGGAGGACTCAAGCAATAGAAAACGAAGGTACACCCCAGTTTCTTTGTGACGACATTAGTCGAAATGCTACAGAAGTCCAGACTTCGACTCAAGCTTCACTCCATGTCAGCCAATTTAGGTAAGGCAAAACTTCCAGAACGTCTGTTTGAGTTCTTGCAACATTGACAGGACAGGATTCGACGTGGTTGTGATTTATCTTAGCATTAGGTTGGGACAAGGAATGAAGTTGGCCTCCCAACTCTGCATCATTGAACTTGACATTAAAGGCCTTGGCTCAGCGTTCTGCTCATAGTATGCACACAAAGCTGCCTGTGCTCTGGTTTACGTTGCCAATTTTCTGACCGGCCTCAAAACAACATACCTCCCCACCAAAAGAGTCCTAACTGCCTACCAGAAGCGTGACGCGACTTCGCAACCGCTATCTGCAATTGTACCCCTCACCTTTTGCACAGTCTGACGGTTGACAGGGGGCCCTTGTGGATACCCGGCGCCTGTATGCCTCTTTGTTGTAGCTTCTTTCACAAGCCTTTCAATAGGTTGTAAGACCGTCACGGGAATCCCTGTGGCTAGTAAATGACTCTACAGGTTTGTTGACCTTGCACCGGCTGCACAGCTTATCGGTCCTCTTTACGTACACTCGGAACTTTCTACCTTTTCTCCCTTTCAAAATTTCCAAATGACACAGTCTGCAAACCGAGTTCAACCCATTCCTTTTTGATCTGCTCGGAGGGAAATTTGCAGCGGGCTTTTCCTGCCCACACCGAATGCACGTCGCTGAGTCAGCAGCAGAGCGGAAGGGCAATCGTTCAGAACGTTCACTTATACAACTCCGACAGTACGTGTGCAAGCCATCCTTGCTTTGTGATCGACGTGGAAAATCCCGCAGCTCCTGAACCAGACTGCACTTAGAGCTTTTCTTCGCTTGTGCCCACGCTTCAGCAATCGGCGTTGCTAGGTGATGAAGTTCCCTTCTCGCTTGCTGCGCCCGCACCTTGGCGTCACACGCTCGGCACAAGATGTGTCGCCCATCGACTGCGCTCGCCAGCTTCCCAAAATTCCGAAGCGGCTTCCACACTTCACATTCAGTGCACATTTTACCCTCGGTACGGTTGTTGGTCGCAACCACCCCTTCGTCTACACATTGGGCCTCCTCGTTTTCCGCATTCCTGATTTGTTCTCCAGAAGCCCCGCTACTCACATCATCAGCAGCAGCCGCTGTTTGCCACACCGACACATTCTTCCTCGCCACCAGACTAGAAATAGCTCCCCAGGAAAAGACGCCGGGACGGTGACCAGAAGCGGCTTCCAAACAACGGCATTGGCAGTACAATCCTCCACAAGATGTGACAGCCAGTGGCAACACTCGGCACATGCCACTCTGCTCGCGCCTCCTGAAGTGGTGAGTCTTCTAAAGCCGGCTAAAACTTTGAATCCCCCAATGCTGGGGAGAGAAGCTCTCAGGGTTGACGCTCGTGAGCAGACCTTGTTTCCTGCGCAACCTGTCCTCCACAGCTGCGCGCTCCCGACCAGGGGGCCTGCAACAGCTGGCATTGCAGGGGGCAAACCAAGTGGACTTCCGCGAGTAGGAGGTGGGGCGCCGGACTTTGACCTGGTTAGCAGATTCGCTGGAACCATCATGCTGTGTAGCTGAGCGCCGATCGTGGCCTCTAAAGAGCTGGAAAAGTGGTCCTTCAAAACTTGAACGTGAACAACTTGAAGCTTGAAGGGACGTCTGATCAGGCATATGAAGCGAACCGTAGCTCGATCGAGATCTCAACAAGCGCACGACCCTTGCGAGGGGGGACAACCTGACTTCCGAGACAGCTGAAACGGTACAAGACTGTTAAACACAGTCTGTAGTGTGGAACTGAGAATCGGAAACCGGCATGAACAACCCGGGACGGCAACGTGCCGGCGCGACGGCAGGACCCCCATCCGGGATAAACAGCTATATAGTTTATATAGGCGGCCGACGTAGCTAGGTCAAGGCCCGGGGAACGGGTAGGGTTACTTGGGAGGTTAGGGTGGGTACGGGGTGCGGAGCGGGTACAAGTGTTGGTTTAGGTTCTTAAGTCGTTCCTCCCCGGGGACTGTTACTATCCTACCGGTAGTCAGGACTCAGGGCTGGATACCCCAGAGTCAGAACACCTGCATGAACGTTTTGCGCGCGCGTGCGCATGCATCTGATCCACGTCGGCGTCTGCACTGCAGTCTCCAAAGCAATGAGGTGCTGTGCCAGGAACTCGAACGCGACTTTGAGTTGGCCAACGAACATACTATAGCATGATCGTATGATCGTATCGTTGTCGATGTTCTTTTACTTGGCAGCAGCAGCCGTGGCTGCCTACAGTCTCATGCCCGTGCACTGGACGGTGGCATCATGCACCCTCCACAACTTTATGAAAACTTGCCGCCCGCAATGTCTAGTGCGTTAGATGCCAATGAAGCACGCATCAATCACACGTAGCTGGTCATTTGACTGATTGGTCTACAAGCCACAGTCTTGATTGTAGAGTACACCACCAGCCTGCACCTTCAGCGCACAATTGATATGCCTCCCACCGCATCGGCCTTCAACCTGCAAGCATCTTCATGGCTCTTCTCGCACTCTACTCTACTCCTCGACCTATCACTTTCCTATGCAGAACCTGCTGAAGATGCCGTCAAGCACCTCTTCCGTGACGTCATCCCCGCTGATTTGCCCCAGTGCGAGCGCCGCCTCCCGCACGTCCACCGTCCAAAAGTCGATTGGAAGGTCGTCTTCAATGCTTGCAACCAGGCGCTGGAGAGCTTCGCTCGCGCGCACGAGCTGCTCCGCTTGCCTCTGCGGAACGAGAATGACTTTAGCTTAGCTTCTATGACCAGAGCTGACTTCCAGCAGTTATTCTGGCTTGCAACAAATAACGGTCAATGACAAGGTACAACTCGAATCCTGTCGTGGCAGGTTGCACGCGGGGAGCTACGCAGATCATACGGCCAAGGCGAAAGTAGCTTCGTCACTGCCGTACAGTAGGCACATGAATCAACGTCAATTTGACCAGCTGCGATGAAAGCTCATAAAAGCTCGGACAGGTTGAACTCTCACAGCAAACCAACAAAGCAATTTCGTCAATACTTCTGGTTAAGTCAAGAGGTAGCGGCACAAGGGCAAGGACTAATGCCCATGCTGCTTCTGGTAGACCCCCCAAAGCGGCGCTGACGTCATCAATGGAACCGCCGGGAAGCATCTCTGCATGAAATTAGAACACCCGCCCACTTATGCAAACGAAACGACAGGCACGCCCAGCAATTTACGCAAGCTTTCCGAACGGGGTGTTTACCTGATTTACTGCCCACGAGATGCCCTCCGCTGTCGCTTCCCCGGCGCCCACGATTTCTAAAAGCGCCCGCTCTAGTTCCACCAAACCAACGCCGTCCCGAGCACACGTGGCGATGCGCCGTGCGAACACCTGGCGCCAGCTGTCAGGTACCGCCACTTGCGACTCGGGCGCACGGTCGACTTTGTTAACAACCAGGATCGCAGGAGGGCCAGAGATTCGTGCGGTTTGCAGCCGTTCGTGAGGAGCGCCGTTCGAAGCACTGCCTGCCGGTTCTCTCGCGGAATCCGTTGACGACGAGGGATCCCGCTCAGTATTCTGGTCAGCAGGACTAGTCTGCCTGACCTGAGAAGCGCTCTTCTCGGTGGCCGTTTGTGTGTACGGTTCAGAGGCCCCGTCTGAGAGACTTCTGACTGCCGGTCGCTCGTCTGAAGCGTGACTCCACTCTTCGGTTACAGGGCCTTTTCCTTCGGTTCGTGGTCCAACGCCACCAACGCTCATTGGACCGGAAAGGGACTTCCGAGCGGAACCGCTGGAGCTGGCCCCCCACACGTGGCTTAAGATGACGTCATCCCGCTCCGTCCAGCCGTCGGCGGCGCTCACAACCATCACGACAACGTCAGCGCCCGCCGCGGCATCTTTGGACCGCTCCACGCCTGCAGATTCAGAAAAGCTATGTCATGCTGACGTGGCAGGTCAAGTGACGTCTGCCGCCAATGTTCTCCTCTCCCGAGACGGACTGCAAGAAGGAATTTCGAAGCGCCAAGACTTTGGAGGATTACAAGAACTCCCACTTAGCAGATTCACTCACAGAGACAGCCACGGACGAAAGTAGCGGGAACTCAGGGAAAGGGCGGCTGGCTGTTTTCAAGACTGGGCGGTCGACTTGCTTGCTACTGGCTGTCACCGCATGTGTGAGACGTTTCTCCCAGGACTAAGAGCCCAGATGCAACCAACCGACCGTGTCCAACGCGCCAAGGATGTGCCCTGCCTTCTCGCAGAGGGCCGGGCTAAAGTAGTGCAGGGACACGGTGAACTTCCTAATCGGGTCGACCTGCCTTTAAATACCGACACTCCTCCGTACAGCATAGAAGGCACAAGCCCAAACGGCCCACCTATTTTCTCGACGGCGTCCGCTGTGTCGCGGATTCCGGCCGTGTCGAGTAGGTACACGGGGATCCCCCCGACCGACACCGCTGCCTCCACCACGTCCCGGGTGGTGCCGGGAATATTGGTCACGATGGCCCGGTCACTCTGCAACGGTAAGGGCCGCTCGATAAGACAAACCGGAAAGACTCACCCGGAGAAGCGTGAAAAAATCGTTGTTTTGTGGTCAAGTGTTGGTCACAATGGCCCGGTCATTTCGCACCGGGTAAGGGCCGCTCGATGAGACACACCAGAACGCCTCACCCGGAAACGTGATAAAAACCCGTTCTTTCATCATCGCATATTGGTCACGATGGCCCGGTCACTCTGCACCAGGTAAGGGCGGCTCGATGAGACACACCGGAAAGGCACACCGGAAAAAAGGAGAGCGGTTCTTCCCGCGTCGAACTGTAGCGTCAAGGAAAGGGGCAACTTGGACGGTCCTTGATTATTTTCTGCCACTTCAGGGAGTGGTAACAGGCGAAGCTTGAGGAGTCGGGTCCTGAAAGCGTCGTCGGTTGGAGGCCAGCCGGCATCGACACGGCGACAAGCTTAAGGTGAGCTGAGAAAGACAGCACAGGACGATGACGGGCAGCCAAAAAGATAAATAGAAAAATCTGAATCTGAGCTTCCTACACCATCCCGAACTTTCGGCACCGTTTTTCCAAAAGCTGTTCTAAGCAGGCCCCGAAACCCAAACACTGGCTGCTCCCTCTGAAAAAAATAGGAAGCGTAGGCGCTGCTGCGAGCGCCGATCATGCCCAGACCAGCTGTTCCGCCACACTGGCGGACCCCTTTCACACAGGAGATTCTCAGATAAACAGCCACAAAGAGACAGATTTGAACACTAAAACGTCACGCACAGCATAAGCATAACACACCAACAGTGGAAGCAACACTGCAGTTCCGCTCAGCGCCGCTCACCTACATTGCTCCAGGCGTTCAGCAGGCTGGACTTGCCCACGTTGGGTCGCCCAATGATCGCGACGCGCATCCCCGCCTGCAGCAGCCGGCCGCGCTGAGCTGTCGCCAGGGCCTTTTGCAGCCGTTGCGAGATGGTGTGGATGCGCTCGATCAGTGCCGGGACGTCAAACGGCGGCAGCTCCTCGTCGAAGTCTAGGCGGGCCTCCATCTCGACCAGCAGGTCGATGCACTCGGCGCGGAGTGACGTCACGAAGCTGGACAGGCCGCGCTGGAAGCGGAGACAGAGAAGACGTCAGAAGAAGCAATTGACGACCACACGTGACTCTTTAGGTGGGCCCAAGTCTCGTGACCAATGCACTCGGCGTGGGGTGACGTCACGAAAGGTGGAGAAGCCGCGCCGATGGACGAAACGCGTGAGGTGTTACTGCGAGCGGTTATACGCCCGCCGAGAGTGACGACGGTAGACTGTGATCCAGCTAACCAGGACATGCGGCGCTGGTGGAAGGACGCAATTTTGGACCCGAACGGGACGCCGGTGAAAAAAAGCAAGGAGGCAACCCGGGTGAGCTGATGTGCAGGTGCCGAAATGGAACAGGTGGACCTGAGATTCCAAGGATGCGCCTGGCGCACAAAAAGCGGCTACATACGGGACATGTCGCTTCGAATAGAAGAGAGAGCCGTCTCTGACAGAGTTTCCTTCCCGTTGCTGCAGTCATGCCCCGTCCGTCTCGAATCTTCGTTGATGCAAGCAACGTCACTGCTTAGGCAAAAAGCGGGGAAGAAAGTCAAAAGGTGCTCTCGAGGCAAAAGCGGGGAGCAGTGTCAGCAGTCCCGAAGCATCGGAAGAAAAAGACTCGTCGCCTCACGCGTAAGAGCACAATCGTAGCATGTGCTCAATCTGGTCAAGTTCTATACCTACCGAAAGCGAAGCAAAATCTCAAAGGCGACGGAGATGCTTCAGCATTTGCTGGCCATACGCGACTTTCAGAATATTCCGCGCTGACTTGTACAATAGCGGGGCGTCTTTCGGACCCCAATCCGCTGGTACGCAGCAACCGACCTACTTTAGTTTCTGTCTCAGGTCTCTGAAGCTCATGGCCCATGAAAGGTTCTGCGTTCAAGGCGGCGTCGCTTATAAAGGTTCACGAACGCAGACAGCAGACGCTCTTAGTGACTCGTACCAGAGGAGCCTTACTTGCATGGTCGACAACGCACTCTCCGCAGCCTGAGTTGTGCGCGCATTGATGAGGTCAGCGATCCCCTCTGCTTGCGACAGGTCGAGACGGCCGTTCAAGAAGGCCCTCAGAGTGAACTCGCCTGCGGACAATTAAGGTAGACTTTTGTCATCTCGCTTGTCACTCAGTAAACGTCGACCAGAGCCGAGAAGACCAATCGTACTCCAGCTGGTGTATCGGTTCGCTTCAAACTTGCTCAGTCAACCTCTTGATCTGATACAAGCAACATAGCAATAGTAGCGGCCCTCCTTTGAAACTTTTCACAGACGCGCTCTGCCAACTCCAGTACAGTAGTACTTCGGCTTATAAGTTTCGATTTTAAGTGAACTTAGGTGTTCGTTGAGTAAGATCAAGTCCCCGGTAGCAAACAAACTAAACATTGAAACCCAAAGTCAACATGCTCCGCACCCGTACCCACCCTAAACCCCCAAAGCAACCCCACCCGTCCCGGGGGCATGACCTAATTCAACATAGCCGTAACTTAACATAAAATCGAGACTACACCTCGGCTTTAGTTGTTGAGCTAAGCCATAACCATCAGACTTCTATCGCCACTTACTCTATCTGCTTTTGCACTGCGCTTGAGAAGGTTCTGGAGCCAACAATATTCGGGTCGACATGAACTATTCAATGCTTCCCGACTTATACAGCCCTGCTCCCACCATTAGCCCCGTGTTTTATTCTTTCGTTCTCCCACTTCTAGTCTTTCCAGCCACGGGAGTAAATCTGAAGCAGCTTTCTCTCGTCGCATCAAAATTTGCACACAGGTCTTATGAACGGACACCTTACCAGGCTTCGCCAGGCGCGCTCCTGCCTCGAGACACGTGTTCAGCACACGGCGTACCGGCACCTGGCCCCCATGGCACTGGATCTCGATGACGTCCTCTCGGGTGTACGAGCGCGGCGCCAGCATCGGAACCATGATGACCTGGAAAACGACAGGTGATCCGGCGTTCGGTTTGGTCTTGAAGCATGTAATGATCCCACACGGATTGGCCTTGTGCCGAGATACCGTAGCCACTTTCTTAGTCCATCATCGAGGTAAACCAAATTTTCTTAGTCATCATCTCAAAGAGGTCAAACCCTGAAATGACCTTGCGGCCTTGTCACTTTGCAGTGACCAGTGACCACGTGGTTTGTTGACCGCAGTGAGTTGGACCAGTCAGCAGGCATCAGGGCGTTTTTCTGGAATGCAAAGGGCTAGCAAAATGCCAAAAAGGAGTCGGGTTTCACGGCCTTTTACCCCTTCCTTTCGTCGTTTGCAGAGAAGCGGTTTTTCCTGGAATCCGATGAATGGAACGAAGCTGCATATGTGGACCCCCGCAGAGGAGAAGAGTTCTGACTTGCTGATCTCAACGTGAACAGAGTTGGTTCTTCTCATGTTGCAACGAGTCGAAGTTTTGCCAGTGCGCCAGATGAGATGCCGTGGTGAGTCTGTCGTTTTAACAGGTACTGGGGGTTGTAACTGTCTTTCAGAATTGAAAACTTGATTTCACCAGAATGTAGTGAGATAACGAGCGAACAGAAATTTGATAATACTTGACACTAACCGCACAAGGGTCGAGGGATCATGGTTCTGCGCTGTAACACCGGCAGATGCTGTGACTATCGTTCGGGAAATCTCTTGGAACGACTTAACTGAGAGGTGTCAGCAGGACAAGCTGGTATTTTTCAGAATAACAAAATCCGGCGCAATCAACCAGTCTGCTGCTCTCTGAAGAGAGCAGCACTCAGCAAAACTTTCCTTCTAAGATGTTGGCACCATCATCACCACACCAAGGGAGTCTCTTGCGCATCTTCCACTTCTTGAGAAGCATCCAGTTTGCATAAGAAGTCCTCTCGGGCGACTAATAACGCAGGCATCAATCGCTTACCTCATCAACTAGTGCACCAGACGCGTCCACGATCTTCCCATACTCCACCTTGTGGCTCTCAGGGTGCCACTCCATGCTCTCTCCCCCTTGCGTGTCCTTCCTTCGGAACGGTTTGAAGATCTTTCGCACCATGTCAACGGTCTTTGGGCCAGAGAGGCGTACTATAGCTACCGCACCAGGCTGGTCTCCAAGGGCTAAAGGAGTCACGATGGCAGCGATGGTGTCAAAGTCGCCGTGCTGACCGGAGGTTTCAGCAGCTTCTGAGGAAGAAAGCAAAGGAACTCCGTCAGCAAGATCGTCCCACCATGGTGAAAGATGACAAAGTCAGCGAGCAAGGTACGGGTGTTACTTGTCAACAAGGTGGCAATCCTCAAATAACGCCTCTCGAGGCGGTATACCGTCAGTCTCACAAATGTCTGGCTCATGCAAGGTTCTCAAAGCACTCACATCGCAATGACAAACATTGGAAGATCGCAGACGCAAAGCTTTCATAGTACTCTACAGGTCCCTCGCCTGAGGTCGAACATACCTCCAAGGGATCAGAGCAGAGGCACGCGATTGCACATTCTCAAGCAGAAGCTCTCAGAGTAGAGGCACAAGACTGCACATTCTCAACCAGAGGCGCACCTCAGTTAGACCACCTATATTGACCACTGACTATTTCGCCTAACATTCAGTTTGAACACTCTGGAAGTGCAGAATGCCGCTCACCAGTCTCTGGCTGTCGCCAGGTTCTGTATCCTCTCTCAGTCCACTGGGGGGGGTAATTTGGCCCCTGATTAACAGCGGAGCATCTCAGCTGCACCTGCTTCCATCTGAGAAAAGGCAAGCTTGCAATCTTGGGGCTGAAAGCGCCTGTTCTGCTGGAAAAAGCTGGATAATGCTGGTCAGAAGGACACATAACTTCACCTCTTGGCAGGTTTCTGAAAGGTGTAAGCGGTGAGCTAGATGCATGAATGCCAACATTTGCACAGAGATGACCTTTGACGCGTGGTGGTATACTACAAAATGCCTTTGGCTGCTCAGCTCTAGTGCGCTTGGCTTGTAGCGGTTTTACGAGCGGCAGGAAAGAGCACTCCCAATGCCTGGGCTGCTCCAGTGCCGACACAGATGAGCTGACAACCCGCTTCTCACCCAGTTCGACCAGCTTTTGGAGGCGCGCAGCCATCGCAACAACGGCTTGTCGCAGGCACTGCTGGCCAGATACGGAATCCCAGAGCGGCAGAGGCCCTCTCCTCATTCTTTTGACAACCTCTGCATCTCTGACTCTCTACTCAGACAGGGCTAATCTTACAACGGGTACTGCTTTCCAATGCTTTCCGACTCCCTGGGAAAACCGCGCGGCCGCCCCGGCCGCGGGGCCGGGCGCGCGCGCGATGGGCGGCCGCGGGCTCGCTTATCCGTGACGGCCCGGCCCGTGACGGTGAAATGGCACTGAGCCTGTCACGCAAGCTTATCAATCCATGGCAAGTCCATACTGCGAATCCTCTGGTTGTGTAATATTAAAACCTCCAGAAAATGAGCAGCATGGGACTGCATGAGCCGGCCATGCCATTCCACCATCTAGCCTACTAGATCAACAGTGTTCAGTGCAGTATCGCTTGCAGGCCCAATGGCAGTAGCAACACGTTGCTAATTGATTCTTGAGTCTATTTCATCCAACGATAGCTACGTTGTCGCTGGTATACTACGGCCCTGATTGCCATTAAGGAGGTTGTACTAGATGAATGATTAATGGATGACGCAGCCCTGGAGCAATGTACTCAAGTGACTGCTCTGCTCATAGATTCTATAATCCTGATCTCCTATGATCTCCTGATTAGCTTTGAAGCTGGCTTACACAACGCGGAGTTTACTCTGACGAGCAGATCCTAACCGCGGCCAAGTAGACGTTTTGCAGCTCTAGACTTCTTCTAACAAGGCAGCTTGACTACTAATTCTTGATCATCTTGCTGTTTGCAATCGTATATTTATCTATGATCAGCTCAGTGAAACAACAACACCTTATGAAACGTGACTCGTATCATATGACCAGCACGGCCGTCGGTATCCACTGCGTTTCGCAAGTCAAATGCAAGAGCGGGGTTAAGCCTCTAGTTGAGTGTAAGAGCGAATTCAACCCTCAACTTAAGTGTAAGAGCCGATTAAGCTTCGAGTTAAGTGCAAGAGCGGGTTAAGCCTTGGGTTAAGTATCAGAGCGGATCAAACCTCCCCGTCTAAGTCCTCCAGCACTTCCGGTCCATTCTCGCAGTACCCATCCCCGCAGTGAAAGTCATCGCAGATCTTCAGATCCAGACGCGCGTCTTGCTCCTCTTCGTGCTCCCAGGAACGAGCCGCGTTTGCGAGGGTGCTCCGATCTCCCGAGCAGTGGTTGTGGAAGATACGAACGGTCCTGCAGGATAACGTCATTTGTTCAGTGCGCTGAATGATCTATGGTGATCCCAGACAGCGGTCGTACGAGTCTGTACAAACGGGAATGTCCACTGCGCCACCGTGGCGTGTTCGTCCAACGATTCATAAGGCCTTCGGATGCAGCTCCTTGAGGTATTTTTCCGACTCTGGCCGAGATACGTACTGCAGCCAATCTTTCTTGCCATTTGATGCTGCCAGCACAAGGGGAACCCTCAACTACCGAGATACTGTCGTTTCAAAAGACCGGGCATTAATGTGAGGATTTGACAGCTGCTGGTTTGAGGAAGGCTTTCTTAATTTTGTTTGTGCCTTGGAAAGACGAAATGCTAAGCAGACCGGCTAACCTGCACGGGTTCCGAACGTCCAACCCCGCTCTTTTAAGCGCCCAGATGACGACGTTTTCGGACCCCGATTGCGGCGCGAACCCCGTCTGGTCGACCACGCTTTGCGGCAAAGGGGCGACAAAGACGAAAGCGTCCGACGACAGGAGCCCTTCTTCCGAATGCTCGTACCTGCGAACGGAGCAGAATCGTACGGCGGGCAACTTCTTGGGGATCTCGCTCTAGGTTGAGTGCTTTCCGCAATTCATATATGCATATTTGAAGTTTGGAACGCGCGTCTCTTTCAGCAAGCAAAGAGAAGGGTCAAAGCCTCTGCAGAATGCGTCGTTTGAGTTAGAAGCATTCTGCCCTGAATCTTAAGTTGTTCTGGTCGTTGAAATAGTTGCTGACTGAAGTGGTTGCTGGCCCTTCACTAAGAATATTCCTAGCCACACTCACGTGCGCCATCGCCTTTCCACTAAGTGATGGAAATCCCTAGACTCCGGTGAAACGCTAACAATATCTACTCCTTTGATTCGGAGCACTTGTCGTGAGGACTCACAATAGAGCAAACTTGAAATCCCTAACGCCCGCATTAGCGTTGTAACTTACTTCAAGGCCCTTCTCCTCTTCGTCTACTCCTTGCTATTTGGACCCATCCTGTGGGTGATTGATCCAATGAGAAACTTACCTGTAGCAGATGTTTCTCCCGCAGACGTGACTCTCCGTCTTCTCGTGGCGGCTCAGCGCGAGCACGCGGCGGCCGCCCGCGAGGTGCCGGTCGGCGCTCAGAAACTCCAAACCCTCGCCGAAGTAGATGTCCGCGTGCGCCTGCGCGCACAGCTTGCCCGGGAGGCGCTCGTTCGCATACGCGATGGCGTCGCTGTAGTACAGGCGGCGGCCTAAGAGTGACACGTGGAGCTTATCGCACGGGTCGCTGAAGGAGGCGCGGATGACGGCTTCGTCGGTGCGAGACTCCAGCAGGAGGTGCACGGCCGCGATCTGTGTGCGCGCACAAGGAGAGTGTAAAACCAAGTTAGAAAGAATTTCTGACATCGTGCACCCATGAAGTTCCTTAACGGCAGCAGGTGGGCGCTTCGTGATCAATCTCGTTCCATCTGGCCCAAGATCCGAATTTTGGTTTCTTGTCACAGGTGGATAGCTATCGAGCTCGTTCGAAGGTATTCTGGGCTTCTCTGCCTGGGTCCCTCCTGAGATGCAAAGAAATGTACTCTGAGAATATTGCTTTGACAATGAGACAACGTCAACAGGGCAATCCACGAGGCATCATAAGCGCTTCCTTGCGTCCGAACGCCTTGTCAAGTAAACGGATGTCGTTCTTTGGAAAGCACGTCCACTGCCTCATCACGAAGGTCGATCGTCCCGAAAGTTGGCTCCTGCTCACATTCTTCGTCTTACAGTTCTCGAAGTTTGTTGAGCCTTGCATTCCAGTAACTCGGTATCATGATTGAGGCTTTTGGTTTTCGTTCTTCCCTTACATAAAGGTCATACCAGTCCTCGTTTCTAGCCCAGAAACAACGACAATCATGCAGTCAGGAAAAGAACGGACGTGGTACTGACTTTGAGGACTGACTCATGGATCTAATGACGATCTTTACTACCAAGACCCATTATCAAACTTCCGCCATTTGCTCAGAGTTTGACGCTGCTCGACTGCTCCACGAAACATCAACATTCGTTAAAGATGACATACTCTAGGCACGATGCATTGAAATTGAGCCGTCCAAACCTGGTCGAAAAATGACCAGCGGACCATGGTGTGAGGGCGGATGCCTTCAATCACCTACCTGGTCATGTACCAGATTTGCTTCCAGCGTGGCAGTGAATTCCGCTTGCCGGGGGCCGGAATCATTCCGGTTTAAGACGGGATACTGGGTGACCAGGTGCAAGCCTTCCGTCGGGCAGACGGTTCTCCGTGATAATGGCTTGCTGGCAGTCTCTAAATCGTGCGCGAGCGCGGGGCGGAACAGGCGACCCGGGGTGTCCGTCGAAGCCGAGTTGCAGTCGAGGAGGCTGTACGGATTCGACGACGGAATAGGGTGAGGTCGTGTGGAATCGACTAAGCTGGGTTAAGTAAAGATCGTGAATCAAAGAGAGAGAAGACCATGAAATGATTTGTAAGTCTAGTGAATCGCGACCGGTCAAGTTCGTTTTGATCTTCTGAGAGCTCGGCATTTGTTTTGGAAACGGCAGCCTTATTGTAGGCTGAACGGAGTGACGAAACTGCTGTGCTTTCGTGCTCCACATACTGAGAGCTGACGAATGGACGCTCGGCTTCCCTTTGACATGGTCCGTTTAAAAGCTTGCCGGAATAATCTGGTAACCTGACCGGTTTCAACGGGCAGTGCAAAACGCCCACAAACGACAACAATTCCCGTTGATCTTTAGTGTAGGGGTATCGCGAGCGGAAGCAAACTTAATATTTGAACATTTCTGGTTGACCTTTGACCAGGGAAAAACTTACACGCCCGGTATGAGGCCTCGCCGCAGGATGTAGTCCACCGTCTTTTCGGCCCACGAAGTGAAGTAGAGGACCTTCAGCTGCGCGAGCGCGAGCGTCATGGCCAGCTGGCGCGCGTGGCACTCGCGGCCGCTCCCCGCGTCGCACCAGCGCGCGCACATGACGCCCAGCGCCTCCAAGCGCGCGCACACGGGCGCGGGGGCGATGGCTGCGAAGTAGGAGCCGTTCGTCGCGCCCGCTTCCATCAAACTCGCCTGAGAGGGTTTTGATAAGATATTGCTTGTGAGATCAGGGTAATCAGCTTGAAAACAAGATTAAATAAAGGTAGTGAGGGTTCACCTGAAAGCTGACCCGGAAATAATGTCTGATCGAGAAGTCGAAATACTTTATTTAGGAACTGCTGCAACTGCGTGGTTGGCCTTCCTTCTGCAATACTTCCAGTGCACTTCTCAGCAGTGTTTCGTTGTTGGAAAACCTCGACCAAATATATTGGGGGTTTGAATTGCCCTATACGGCTTCGAAGGCAGAAGTTCTCAGAAGATTGAAGATATCCTATCTGACGGCCTACGTTGAGCTCGCCTTAGGTAGCACTGCAGTGATTGCAAACTGTGCGCGCGCTTGTCTCAAAGGCTTTGTCAGCGAACAGAGTCTCAATATCCTCGTCAGTGAATGGCAAGCGAAATACAAAGCACCTTCTAGAACTTCAAGATGGATTCAGCGCAAAGGCGTGCGCACCTTGAGCGCCGCGTGCAGCGCGCGCTCATCGCACTGTGTGGTGCGGTCGACGAGCAGCCCCCTGAAATTCCGGCCGACGAGCAGCTTGTGGGTCGCTTCTTTCAGCGGAAACGCAGGGCGGAAAGAGCCCACCATAGAGTTGAGCTGCACTTCTACTATCTGCGACGCGTCCACGTGGCTTACGTCCGGCACGCGCACGTGTTCCGTTCCGTCCGGTCTAGAGAACACGTCGGCGGCGGGAACGGTGACCGTCGGAAGATCGGACGGTGGAAGGGCGGCAACGGTTTCGAGGTCCCCGGGGCTGAGAACTAGATACGGCGCGTCGACAATCTCGCCGAGCTCGACGCCGCCCACGTCAGCAGAGTCCCATAACAGGACGAGCCTACGTGATAGTTTATGGGACAATAGAACGGCCCGGGCTAAGTCTAGGAGCCGCTCGGCCAGGGGACCGGTTAGGTCAACTAGAAGGAGGGGAAACTTGGGGGTTGGCAGCTCTTCCGGCGCGGCTCGCGGCTGCGGAAGGAGCGCCGCGTGCGGGGCCGCGAGGGCGTCAGGCGAGAAGAGCGCCTCGCCGAAAGGTCCGCGCGCGTGGATGAACAGGCTTTTTCTGACTCGCGCGAAGTCCGTTGAGGGTAGGATCCAGTCCGGGCCGACCGTCAAGTCGAAGGCTGAACAGCAGATGAAAGGAAGATGCGTTTAAGATCGGTTCTGAACGGGTAAAAAATCGGCGGTAGAAATCCGATTCGGCCAGATTAGGTTGTATACAGAAATGCATTGTTTTAGGTAAGTGTTACAGCCCGTCCGGTGCACCAGGGCAAGTATCAAAAGCACCTGAATGTTTCAAGGAAAGGTGTCGTCCCGTTCACGGTAGAGGAGAGGAAGGATGGCGATTCGACTCACAGGCAACCAATGTGTAACAATTTATGGCGCTGGTGGTTCCCAAGGAAATCTGTCAAGCAACTTCCAGTGCAGCTTTCCACGCTAGAAGTTACTGTAGCTTTTTGGCGCATCGTCTCTTGTACTTGACCGCGGCAGAAGGAACGGTAGTAACAGCGCTTCCAAAGGAAACAGAAACATCGCCGGCTGTATCCGTGTATCCTCACCTTTGTACTTGTAGTTCACCTCCCATGGAAAGAACGTCTCCATGGAATCCAGTTCCGCGTCCAGAAGCTCCCCCAACGATTCTTCGCACTGCTCGTCTTTCTGCCAAATCACTCGCAGCGGCCAACTCAACTTGTCTGCTAGGAGGCGCCCGGAAGCAATGGCAGCCGTCCGATCTGAACACGTGCCGTTCGGACGTAGAACGATCCAGGGGCGGCGGAATTTCTGGTAGTGGATTCGTAACTGGCCTTGCAGCCACTCTAAAGACGTGACCTGGAAGCAAAGGCGTGCTCAAAATGAGTCACTCTTATTACATAAAACGGTGGGCAAGAATTTCAAAGCGCACTGAGAGGATACGCAGTCCGATTAGAACGTAGCGATCGACTTATTTTTCAGGGAAGGAGGATTGGCGAGAAAATATGAGTGACGACGAAACGTGGGGAGTTCCTTGGGAAACTGTCCTAAACAGGAGGAAGCGCAACCGAAAGTCTACGAGGGGAAAAACCACCAGAAGATATCGAAAGAAGGATGAGAGGAGAATGCACCTAGAAGGAAAAGTCGGAAAGTGGCACAAGCCGTGATCTCCTAGGATGAGATACCAACCGAAGCTCGAGGGAACTAGATCGGCGAAGTCACCGTACCGTGGCCAGCTTTTCTTCCGGCAGGTCGACGCTGTAACCGACCACTTTGCGGTAGGCTCCCAGCAAGTAGGACCTCTCGTCCTCGGGGGAAAGACCCGAGTGGATGTCCGGAACCGGCGCCGTCAGGTTGCAGTCGCACGTGCCGTCCAACTGCTGGGAGCACTCGTACTGGCTGCCTTGCATCTACAGGAAAAGAAGAGCTCTGCTTAAGAAAAGAATCGCTTGTTGAGAGTTCTAAATGGGCGTATGAAGTCATCACTCTGCATTCGTTTCTTCGAGGCTTTGTTACCGGCTTGAGACTCTTTTGAAAAAGACTTTGCACGAACCCGAGTCTCGTATGGACCCGCAGGTTGTTTAACGCGTTGAAGCTTGCATTGGATGCTTGATACCTTCATTTTAGCTCCCCGGCTGAAATGTAAGAGCCGGCCGCTTAAAACTTTGATACCAGAAGCAGGACACTGAACAACTTGCATCAGGTCAGGGAGCGCTACTCAAGCATCTGCATTCTAACGTAAACCGTTCCTCGTAGTTTGAATAAACGTTGGAATCTGTAGTTACTCCCCACACCCGATGAGACGTCGATCGGACATTCGGGGCCGCGTCTTATGCGTTCCAATCGCTTTCACAGGAGCACTTTTAACGGCGTCAGCCCTTTAGTCATTCCAGGCTACCACCGCAAGATTTTGAAAACGAAAGGCATCAGCTTGACGGACTCGCAGATTTTGAATCTCATGTTCCATTCATGCAGCTCGCTGCCAGTTATTGATACTGAGGAAACTTAGGAAGCTACTTGAAGTTCGCCAGTTCTTTCTATATGGTCGCAGACTCAACTAACTCAAACATCTTACTTTTGAACTTCGCTCTCTATTCGAGATTTGAAGAGCGAGTCACCTTTTCGTGCCAAAGCTCCAGCCGCGCCGTCAGCGCCGCGTTGAACAGGTTGGACACGTCCACGAAAGGGATCCCTCTAGTGTTGTCCGCGCGCTGGCCGTCGCCATGCTCAACGTGGCGGATGTAGTCAAAGTCGAGGTCGCGCCGCGTGGCCAACTGCGCAGGGCAACAAGAACCAAGCTGCCAATGATGGTAAGTTGTAGAATTGGTGGCCGCTCCACTAATGGGCACACTTTGCTTGTCGAAATTTCCGCTAGAAATATTGTTCCGACACCTCGAGCAAGTCTGATGGATTGAAAGACGTTCGAAACCTTGTCGGAGCTCGTTCAGACAGTGGCAAGCTGTTTCTCTTCGATACGTATTTCTGGTTACTTGAGTCAACGTGCCTCTGATCGCCCCAGAACCCTGTGGGAACACCCGTTCATCACCGCCCAAGAGTTTCTCTTCGAGGGGATTGGGTAGATCGAGAAGAACCCACTTTTTCAGATGTTGAATTGTTGGATCTGGGATCCCGGTTCTACTATAGATGCTTTCGCATCTTCTCAGCTCTGAGTTGGTTTAGTTGTTCACCATCACAACAACAAGAACAGCTTCTCACCCTGCTTAGTCGCATCTGCAGGTTATCGTCATCATGTCCGTACCCCACGATCCGCTCGTCGAACCCGCTCACGGCCGCCCACGTGGCCCGGTCGACGAAAAACACCCCGTTAAGATGCCGCTCGTTTTCCGACCGGGCGGCTTTCCAGTTTCCGGCGTAATAAATGCCGCCCACGTGCGGGTGGTGCTCAACAAAGTCCGGCAAGAGAATGCTGTCCGCGTCTAGTTTCAGGATGCGCGAGCCCCGGCTGTGGCGCCCCGCGAAGTTGTACGCGCGCGTTATGTCGAACTTGCCGGTTCCTTGGACCTGGGAATTAGAAGGTTTGGCAGTCAGCTTATAAAGCTCGTGTCGCGAGAAAACAAAGGTATCACATATAAGATATGTGCCTAAATGCTTGTGCTTCCGTCCTCGGTCTATCTAACTTAGAATCGAAACTGTTTGAAGTAACTTCGGGAGACGGGAAAGTGACAGGAGCAGGTCCTGTCGATCTTCGAATGCGTCTTGGCTTTCTGGATGTACAGCTTCACAGAAGTTCTGATGAAATAGAATGGTCAGGATGCAATTCCTAAATCCGTTTCCAGGGCTTTAGCTTAGATTCCGGGCAGCTCCTAATCTTGAAAGAAAGTCTGGAGAAGTTTTGGATGAAAGAAACGAGCTTTGCTCCGCGAGTCGAGGTGAAAGTTCACCACATTGGAAGCGGATAGCTTACCTTAACATACTTGAGTCGTGGATCCTCGAAGCCAGCAACCGCCGCCGCGAGCCGGTTATCGTCCCCCGGCATATAATCCAACAAAATAATTTCGTGCACGCCAATCGCGGCGAGCCACGTGGGCAGCGCAATCTTTAGGAGGTCCGCGTACGAAGGGTTGAGGGCGGCCAATATTGAGACGCCCTCGAACGCGGGGAGCGCGTATATGGAGCTCGGGTTGCATATGAGCGGGGCGAGTCCGGGGGCCTGGAAGTCAACGGACGCGCGCAGGATTCGTTTGGAGTGCGCGAGTGCCGCGACTTCGGTGAAGGAGCTCCAGTGGCTGCCCAGAATGGCGGGGTGGCTGGGATAGAAAGATGCCAATCATCAGAGCGCCGAAAGGTGTGAACGGAACGGACCGGACTGGCCGGAGCGGAACGTCGGAGCCTATCGGAACGGTCCCTAAGGAAGAGGTTTCATTCTTTCCTTCATCTTCCTCGGTTTGTTGGCGCCTAGATCGCAAAGAAGCAGCGTCACCGTCTCAGCTAGAGAGTAAGGGGAGACGAAAGCTAGTGAGCGCAAACTCGCTGTATTTCATGACCGGCTGACAGATGTGGCGGCGTAACGTCAGCAGGCCCGCGATCGCGCACCTGCTGTGCGCGAGCATCAGGATGTCCGCCAGGGCCGCGCGCAGGCAGCCCACGTTCCGCTCTAGTTGCGTGCACCGGCGGTCGCGCCCCAGAGTAATGATGCGGCCGCCGAACTCGCGCATTAACTCGTCTTCCACGCGCGCGGTGTCGGACGCTACGAAGATCGACAGCCCCGTGTTGCGCGCGACGAGCGCGCGCAGCTCGTGGACGAAGTGCGCGGTGCGAGCCATGGCACGCGCGAGGTTCAGCGCCGCGCGGTCCTCGGGTGAGTAGGCGGAAACGTCCTCGGGAGTGCCCAGGTATTCTGCAAATAACCGGGGGTTCATAGTGTTGTGTGCACTGACGAGAACCGGCTATCGGTTGGAGGTTCTGCTTGTTTGGATTGGGTGCAAGGGGATCACTCCAAATTGTGATTCTGCATGCTGTTTCCTTGCATGTCCCGAGGTGGCCGTAAACGATTATACAATACCTTTTTGGTACATTCCAGGTTCCGCTGACCTTTTGCGACCCTGGGCAAAATGGACTTCCTCCAGACTGAAAACGGATTGGGGGCCGGCTCGCGGAGGACCGGCGCTGCTAAGGTTCGGAAATTGAGAGGCCAACTGCCCCGAAGAAAGAACGCTGGAAAGCTGCGGTTCTTGATTCGATTCAAAGACTCACCACCACTTCTTCCAATGCCTATCAACCCCAGCCTCGGCCCCAAGGTTTTACAAGTCCTTCCTGCAATTCCTCCAGATTGTGTTACTCCCGAAAATAACCAATCAACGTGTGCCCTTGACGCCACGAAAAGGCGTAGTTAAACCTTCTTCACGAAAATCCTTCACAAAAGTCCTCCCCACCAGTGTGCAATGGAAGAGTCATTGGCCACGAGGCAGACTCACCTTCGCCCAAGCCGATTTGCCCCTGCCGGATGTGCACGCCCACATACGCTATGCAGGGCCACCACTCGCGTGCCACGTGGCAGCCGACGGCGTGAAACGGCCGGAGGGCGTCTTTGATGCTGTCAACTGGGTCCAATTCCTGGAACTGCCGCGCAAGGCTGGAAGCCTGAAGAGTTTCAAAAGCAGTTTGTCCTTGATCAACTTGGCGCGCTTGACAGCTGCCGATGTTAACGGCCTTCCACTCAGAGGCTGTTTGGTAGTCCAGATTGCGGGGTCTTGGATGTGCCTCAAAGTGGGTCGCTGTCCAAGCAAGCGACGCGCTGATCGGACAGCTGTACGAGGTATATAGTAATCAACTGAGACAGCCAAAGCAGGCAGAACATACGAGTCACGTTTCTAGAAACTCTCAAACTCCTTACATTGGGTTGCTCAGAGACCGTTCAGCGCTTCGCGCTCGAGTCGCATCTCACTTACATCTTGCCCCGCGCCCGCCGGTCCATTAAGCAGGAAAGCAGAGCGCACGTAAATATGACGTGGCCCGTCCGCAATGAACTGGTACTTAGTGGCGGGATGCATATAGTCGTACGCATCGAAGTTCGCCCCCGAGACTTCGTCCTCCCAAAACGTATCCGCTACGTCTTCGTCGTTTAGAAAGAGGTCTGGGAAGCGCGCGCGGCAGTGCTCGTCCGGGATCCAGATGACGCGCAGGTGGCGGCCTGCAACGGAGGCCGAAACAGAATTTTGCTCAAAACATTCTAAACTTCCTGGTCCAGGATTTAGTGCGATGCGCTTATATACCGTGTTTACCAGTTATGAAGGTGAGATCTTGGATTTCCCAGGCTTGAGAAAGGGATTGTCTCTATACAAGGCTGGCTTTCAAGACTTGTTCCACATTCCTGGCTCGTTTGCATGGATGCTGGACACATCCACGGAGTCCCGCTCCGCAAAGCTTTTAAACCAGTTCTGAGATGAGATCGCCGCGGAGTTGGGCCAAGTCGCCGCCTCGGATTCGGTCAAGGGCAGCTTCTCAGATACGGAGTCTCTAGCTCAGACGTAGGAGCAACAGCCCGCTATGGCTCCCAAGTTGAAGACGACACATGTCTTGGAATAGGAGTGTTTCCCTGGGCTGCTGGAGACATCGTTTCTGCCTCCATGGAATCAGCAAGATTGCGGATATACTAAGATCGAATTACATTTCAGGACTGCCCACACATAAAAGTGCCCACCTGTCGCGTTGGCAAACGCTTTTGCACTGAGGTAGCCCCGGATCCGGTTGCTCAGCCCGTGTTGCACGTGGATGAGGAGCACCTTAGACAGCCCCTTTTGCTTGGCCCGCGAGTACGACCCCTGCAAAGACGCGCTCCACGTGTTGTGCCGAGATAGGATCCCACGTACGGCAAATGGCATCCGATTCCAGGACTCGAAGTATGCTGTTGATCCGCCTTAAAATTGTATGTTATGCGGGGATCAGGGGATGCGCGCTTGCCACGTGATCCCCTGCATCTGACAGCGCCATCAGGCACGGTTTGAGTTAGTTTGTGCCCGTAACAGACGGTTTGGACGTTCTGCCGAGCTGACTGATCGTACCGCTTCAAAGAAGCTCGGGTTTCAAGCCTTAAGTATTGCAGTGGTTTGCAAAGATGCAAGAAGTCAGAACTTGACAATCCTTCTGAGGTCGTTCCGAGATTTGAAGGGTCGTTCTGAGGTTGATTAGAGGTTGAGGCACTTGAGGCACTTTGAGCTCTCTACTGAATCCAAGACCTATCCAAAGCTTCTCAAAAGAACACTCAAGTTTAGTCTTGCCCCCATACTGGATCTTCTGTTAATTTCCCCTCAAGTTTATGCGAGCGTGAGGCTATTTTCGAAGCCGGTTCAAGTTCTGTCCTGCCGGAACAGAACGGAAGAACGGAGCGAAACGAGAAGGAATAGAATGGAATGGGAAGCAGCAAACGAAGCAACCGCACTCCAGCAGCGAACTCGTCAAGGCGAAGGAAGTAAGCAAAGCGTTTCGCATCCCAAAGAAGGAAAATTCCAACACTCACCATCACGTTTCGGACGTATTGTCGCGGCATCGCCTCGACTGCCGCTTCCGTGAAGCCGTACTCCCGGAGCACTGCCCACGTGGACGGGCGGAAATCCAGCATGAGGACGATCCTGTGTTCCTCCATTGGTAGAAGGACTAAAAATATGCTCCCTAGGCATAGAAACAGGACGTACAGGATCCGGAGGAGGTAGCTGGTGCCGGTTGGAGAGGCAAACGGCTTCCGCTGAAAGGCACCCATCCTGCGTGAAGATCCAGGTTTGCTTAACCACGCTTTGTTAGGAGCTAGAACGAGTTGTTGAGAATGTGACCACTGGCTTGCCAGAGAACGTTCGGATCCGGCACAAAGTGGTTCTCGAAGAAAGAAGGAGTCCGTGCTCCGACTTGGTGTATTCGATCGCACTGCGCGCGCCTACGTGTCAGAGGACCATGACGTCGCTTTTTGATGCGGAGTGTATGCACACAAGCGGGCTGGCATAAAGCTGGATTGAGCGTTAACCGCCCTCTCTCGGCAATGGCATTCATATGTTGATTTGCGTCAGGCTAAAGAAATTGACTGCTTCTGAAATGGGACTGGAAAGCTTTAAAAACTAATCGCCTTGTAGTTCGATCTGATAATTCGAAAGAGCTCGTAAGGGCTTGCTTTATTTTAGGGCCGGGGCAAGAACAGAAGGTCCCAACCACTTCCAAAAGAAGGACGTATTGTTTTACGAAGAGGAATGATCTGCTTTCAATAGAACTTGGGTCGAAGCAGACTTTAACGTTACCAAGAGATCTGGTGCCTTCAACTTTGAAATGGTTGCTGGCTTTAGTTGGGCATCATTCGGTTGATGTCACAACTTCACAGAGTGGACCAATGATAAGCTGAGTCGCTCAAGACTTGTCAAAGAGCGCGGGCTACTTACTGTTCCATCAAATGCATCCTACGTGAAAAGAGTAGCTAGCTTGACGCAGGGCAAACAAACACGAGACCTTATTCACACCACCCTGCGGACAAGTATCCGTGATTTAGATAGCCACTTTGAAAAAGGCCAGATGCAGTGCGAGGCGACACGAGCTTTCAAGTACACCATCCCGCAGCCAACCACCCAAAGTGCAGATAACCTTTTTTGGAAAAAGACCGAAACTCAGAGCGGCAACTCCAGGCAGCCACAGCAATGGCCTTGAGAACTACTGTCACTGCTTTGGATCTCCAATAACCCCTGGCCTACATGTTTCTCTTATGAGCTTTGATGCGGCCCGCAGGATCATCGCTCACGGCGCCTTGGCAGAGGTTATGCAGCACCCCAACGGCATCTCTTATAAAGACGAAAAAGAAACCGCCGATTTGTGGACCCATCTGATGTTCTTGCATTGTCTGTACCACTTAACCAGGTCAACTGTCAAGGTACAGAACCGTAAGCTAGAGTGCATGAACCAGAATTTCAGTATGAAGATTAAGGAAACGCGGTCACCTGAGGATTGCGCTGCGCCGCCAGGCCTGCCCAACAATCTCAGCAGATCTGTACCTGCTTTGAATCAAGCCAAGGCACGGAATACTTGGGTCGCACTTTACTGGGTCGAGTCATAGGTGGCTGCTGGCGGTTTCATTCGACCGTGGGCCTGCGATAGTAAGAGTGAGCGTTCAACTGAAGCTCCCCTTCCAGCGAGAAGGACTCCAAAGTTTTCAGCTACGAATCCACGTTGGTCACTAATAAGGGTCAGCTAAGAAATTCAGGCGTTCATGGGCTCCACGTAGAAACCATGTCGTCTGATGCAGTACGCCAGTTTGCCGCCTGCCGTTGCCGTTGCGCCGTAGGAATGCGGTCTCCTTACTCAACCGACAGGCTTATGCAGCTGCAGTTTGCAGCCTGTTTGTGGCAACGCCGGTGGCGAGGCTCGAATACCAACGCTTCAGCTCACTTTGATCAGAATTTGCTGTTAAAGCAGGCATTGCTCATGCTTACCAGATTACCTTCACCTTGCCTTCATTCTTCGCCTTCATTTGGCGTCCATTGGCTCACTCCTAGTAGATTACCCAGCGGTATACGTGTCGACCGAGACTCCTGCTAATGGAAACAAGCTAGGTAGTGCGGCAACGTTTGCCGTGGGCCCGCCTCTCAGTGCCTGGCGCAATTTGGCCGACTGGCTTGCACCTGGAGAAAGCGGCTTGGCTCCCTCTTGGCTCATTGGATTCGAGTGATAAGCAGGTGCAGGTAATAGGTAATAAGCAGGAACCTGGCCGGCCGTGAAAGCCCCTCATTGCCCCTAAATGGGATCACAATGGATCGGTACTTCTAACCTCACTGACCGTATTATAAGCGTTGTGAAGTTTGTGGCCAGCAAGGCGCTGGTCAGAGATCGATTTGCCGCAGATCAGTACTTACTTGCTAGGTGTTGCTAGGTACTTGCCTGACACTTGTCAGGTACTGTAGTGAATTCGGTAATACCTACAGCTACATAATTGGGGCTCTGAGGGTACCGGTACCTAGGTCGTCTTCGGAGTCCGGACCACCGGTGACCGAGATATGGAGCTTCGAGTCCCGAACCAGAGACAAAGTAAAGGTGTCGACACGGACAGTAAATTCCGTCGATCCGAGGCTCGAGCCGATTGCACTACAATGAGCACCCGGAGGACGAGTGGGGTTAGCTAGGTGGTTAGGGTGATGCTGATTGCGGCTCGCGGGTGCGCAGCTTGTAGATTGTTGGGTTAGGAATTCAAGTTTAGGTGCCCGGGCTGGGCACCTCAATTCTGCACATGAGCGGATCCTCTGTCGGAGTCTGTTCTCAAACGCCTGTCACCCTGCGACTCTGGAGTCACGGTGAAGGTCAAAATTTATCCGATTATGTATTTTCGATTTAACTCGAGGCATGTAGTAAGCTCCCACCCTAACACTAAAAACCTAACCCTGAAATTCACCCACTCCACAGCGAAGCCCACCCTAACCCACCCGTCCCAGGCTGCTTGGCTTACCGTACTTTACCTGAAGCTTACTTCTTCTAGATTGAAGTCTTGTATCCGATACTCCGGCGGCCTGCCATGCCGGTACATACCTATATACCGTAGGTACGGTACTTCTTTCAAGAAGGCCGTAGCGGAGGGTAGGTACGGTGTAGGTAGGTACTATCTGTATCGGGATAGTAGGGTACCTTTACTGGAATTGGCAAGCAGCCGTGACACTACCAGTACGGCCTGACAAGCCGTTACCAAGAGCTGCTTTGCACCAGGTACGTAGGTACGTAGTACAGAGCCCATGCAGTACTCCGACATAGCAATTACGGTAGGTAGCATAGCCTCCCTACGGACTCCTTCACCAAGTGTGAAGAGATCCCACTAGGCGCACTGCTGCCTTCATACTACTGGCTGGGCCACTCCCTGCTTACATGGTCGGAAAAGAGTAAGACAACGCTTCCCCTCTTGTTCAGTCTGGAAGCCTCACCCTTCTCATGACTCCAAGCTAATTACAAGCTAGTAGCTATCTTCACAAGCTGCACTAGCGTTTACTAGCGCTTGTAGATCTCAGGTCAGTGTCAAGCTTGTTAGGTTGTTTGAATCTTGTAGATCTCGATCAGGGTGTTGCTGCAATCAGGCGCGCGGCAGCTCCTGTTATCATACTCCCTTCCCTGCGGGACTGATTGGTGCAGCACTTTCTCATAGAAATCCCCAGCTCGCCTTTGCAATGGTCGCACGCATCAGCTGCATGGGGATGGAGCGGAAGCTTGCAGTGAAGCTGAGGAGTGTCGCCGTGGTACTGGTGACTTACTTGGTGAGACTTTTTCCAGCTTTTCCTGTTTTGAAAGTCACTGCGCTACACGTGCGGCGGACTTTTGGAACGTGGGCAGTTTAGCAGCTCGATTTGTGCGGGTTCGGCCCAGCACTCCACATGGATCTGACGTTTTATTAAGAAGAGGAGATGAAGGACGCCTAGTGTATGACATGCAACCCCTGAGATGGTCTCGCGTGGCACTGTGGTTTCACACTTGTCAAGACTTTTGATTGTAAGGGAATTTTGGAGCTAAGATTGACATTACGAAGGAACTCGAGTGCGCGTCTGGTAAAGCTTACACTCGGGGCTTGAACGTACATCATAGCTAGTGCGTTATTTGAGCGCTTGACCAGAATCCAATGCAACGCCCCCCATTGACCCCGCATTCTTTCGCGATCGAGAGATCAAGCGGTAGTTTGCCGGCGTCTCTCAATCATCTTTCCTTCTGTTTTGCAGGCTGTTTGCAGCGCTCGAACACTCCCCTCAATCCCGGAAGCTGACGGAACTCCCCTTGGGATGCGGCGATCGTTGATGCAAGATACCAGCGCATGCTTGGTGCAGTGCACACCTCCCCCCTCCCCAGAAGGGATCCCTGGGGAGCCGTACTGCTGCCCTTTTGGGTCCCAGTGCCTGGGCGACGGGAGCGCCGGCGTGTGCGAGGCGATTGGCGGGGGTGGAGACCCAAGTGAGGGATCAAATAAGGCACTTGAACCTCTTTGAGAAGCTTTGTCCTACTTTTAATGGTAGGCTAGCCTTTTCCTGCACCAGTTTGTGCTCTCCTTGAGGGAGACCTCGCGCTGGCGCAGATTGTGCGGTCAGAGATCTGCAAAAGGAGATCAAGAATGAGGCCATTGGACGAGTCGAGTGGCGCACTCAGGGTTTTTTTGCCCCTGTAAGTCTAGATCTGCCTTGTGGAGATTTTTTTTAAAAGGCTGAAGAAAACAAAGAGGCCTAGGAGTTTCAAAAGATCGAGACTGCTTGCGGACTTGGTCTTTTGTACAATCTAGATTTCGTTGCAGCTAGATCTGGCCAGTCAGATGGGGTTAGCCTATTGGAGCATACCTTTGCCAAGCAGACAGTCTTGGTAAAATTCAGTCTGCTTTGCTTCTGTCTAGCTCAACCCACTAAGCCAGTGTGCCCAGGTGGATCAGCTAGGGACTCTACTTTGCTTCAATCCAACCAGAAAGCCTTCTGAACTTTCTCAAATGCTCCACCCAAGTGGGTTTAATTCTTGTGCCTCTTCAATTCTTGAGAGATCAGCTCTGATCAGAAAACCTCTTGGAAGAGTCTCAAAACGTTCATAGGCTGGGCTACTGGCCCCTCAGGCTGGCACCTTTGTATTCCTAGTATATTCGTGAACCTTTGCTGGGCGCTGAGAAGGTGGCAAGTGCAGCAGATGTATTGAAACAAGGAGCGTTACCTTCAATAATATTTTGCTAAACCTTCCTTTCTGCCCAACTTCTGCAGTCCCTGCCCTCATCCTGGCAGAGCCTGGCGTCAGTCCGTATGCAACCGGAGATCCTGACAGTGGACCGAATCCGTGCAACTTCAACGGGGTAAGTTCTACTTAGGCCAGAGCTCACAGAGATGTTTGGGTTGAAGTCGGAGTAAAGGAAGAAATTCAGACGGGTCCAGCTTTCTGAAAGGCACGGAGTATATTCTGTAAGGTGCTCTTGGATGGATATGTGAGGCCGAGCTTGAGTTGGGCACTCTAGTAGACAATCATCGAGCATAAAGCTGCAAGCACGCTTCGATTCGTTCAAAGGGTGGCTATATCAGTACGCTGGTTTCTTTCAAATTCAGACGCATGCAAAAGAACCACTCTCTAGGCCCACGGAAGAGCTCAAAAGAGCTCTCAATTTGTTGACGACTTTTGGCAGGCAGCAACTTCCGTACCAAAGCACAGGGGCGGAACAGGCCAGACTGAGGGAAACGGTCCCCTCTTGTGTCCGTAAATCATAGTCTAGACATTTTGCTGTGGCCTAGAGGCGTGAGAGAAGGAGGCTATGCGCGCTTCAAACACTGACGAAACTTTCCCCTCGCCCTGCAGAACACTTGGTATTGCCCGGAGACCCTGAACTGCGGGCGAGCGTATCTCGACTGCCTGCCCTCCGAAAGCTTTTTCAGACTGGCGAACGAGGGCTACTAGTCAGGTGAGCGCGTTTCAAAGGCTCATCAGCACGATCACCGCCCGGTAAACAGTACCTCGTGCGGCATGAACCAAGAAAAGACTGCTGCCCGATCTGATTTGTGTAGATCTAGATTGATGTGTTTCCGGATATCTCAAAGTGGGCATGAGTGACTGCGTCTTTATGAGACGGAACATACTGACCGCTGGGGTGCATCTTTGTCGCCCGAGTTTGGAAGCTTCTGCGATCGGCCTATTTGGCGACAGTGAAGAAGATTAGACACTGCAATGGTCGCCACATGCTGACGGACTTGGTACGGCCCTTCCTCTGTGCTAGACTTTCGGATCTTGGCCACACGGAATTTTGGCCCTTAACCACGGATGGTTATGAGCTGGTCTAGAAGTGGTTGACTGTCCAAAAACCGGACTCGGGCGGTAACCAGCTCAAAAGAAACGTCAACTACCGGTTACTTGTCCAATAACCCAAGCCTCGACTCTCGTAACCAGCCTGCTTAGCAGACAAAATCTCCTGTGGGCTCCAGTATCACTTACATGGTTTCCAGTGCTGCCCAAACTTCAGCGCGCCAGCAATCCGCGTTTGCCAGCTTTGCGAAGATTGCTGAGGCCGTGCAAAACTCTCTGCTTTGTGGGCTCTTGAAGCTCGACAACGTCAGCGCTAAACCTGCCAACTTCGAGCTTCAAAATCTGAGCTGTCCAGAACCTTACGAGCTGTTCGGTTGTGCAGCTTCTCAAGTTCTGCAAACCGCACGACTCTGATTGAACATTCACTTGCCTTCGTTTCAGGTGATTTCGGTCGACCGGGCGTGTTGTAAGCCGGTTATCCTGCAAGACAGTCATTGGGAATAAAAGCGACACTCCGGCTATGATGGCGGCGAAGTGATTTCGAATTCTCTGCTTCCTCTACCGGTATTTGCAATAAAGGCGGCCCTGTCGAGCTTCGGGCTTGACGTCAAAGCAGCTTGACCTGTTTCATGAGTGATGTAAGTAGCTCTAGATCTTCACACGAGAATCTATTCCCCTTTCTTTTCGTGGCTACAGAGACAAGCTAGATGTCTCTAAAAATTAGGGCAGGGATGGCTGCACGTGTGTTTATTAGCAACAGAATCAGACTTGACACGGACAGGGATTAATCTGACCGCAAATAGTTGGACGTCTTATTCCGGATCCGCATCTGCCAGACGCTAGCTTACCGTGAAGCGGAGCGTATCAGATTCACAGATACGGATAGATCAGCGACCTGGGGCTTAGGATAGCGTAGAATCATTGACTTCCAGATTAGTCTCATGTGATCCACCCTTTTTGTTGGTCGACTCCTTCGATCAACAGTCTGATAGTGATTATGATACGAGAAACGCTACAAGGCGTCCCGCGGTGCCCATTTTGACAAAATGGTGATTCTGCGGACTAGTAGATTCATGTTTGCCTGGTTCACGCTTCAATCTATACAAGTTGTTGCTGTTTATGGGTGAGTTCTCAATGTCTGAAAGAGCTCATAAGTTGGATTTTAAATGAACACCCTTGACCGCCCACGTCAGAGTGACTTTTCAAAGCAATTCACGCCTAGCGGCCCCGAACGTGATGCGGTTCATGAAAAGCCAAAGTCTTTTATCAAAGGGCGGCATGCTTGGTAGTCATTTGAATCCAACTCGCGGACCCCTCCGTACCTAGCTCGCGAGTCCGGCAGATTAGCAATCTGCTCCTGTTTCGTGCCTCCACCACGAAGAAAGATATGCACATAGCCGTCGGATCTGGCGGGTAAACCCACTGCCATGATTACAAGGTTGTTAGGTGCTCAAGTCGGCTAACAACGGCATGACCAAAGTACTGTGGCAGTGATCAGTCAATATAAGTTTCTCTTGATACTTTTGAGCCAGATTTGGTTGATCAGTAACTCGAAGGCATTGATAATAGGACCCAATGTATGACTGTAGGAATGCACGTACGTACTCAAAGCTGCCACTTTGCCTTACTGGCTCTGATTCCATCAGGCACGGGCGGTTGAATTGAAGTACAGTCTGCAGCTCACCTCGATTTGGATATCAGTGCGCTGCAATCAGTGCACCACGCATGAGTTGGCACATCATGGGAGGATCGATGCCAAATGCACATAGATGATTTGGGAACTCTCCGACTTGTAGAGCTGACAAATCTTGGGTATAGCATGACCAGCACTGCAAATCGGATCTCGAGGCATGCCGCTCATGTGGGTCCAGCGTTCTCACATTCCGTGAAAGGCACAATAGCAGCATGGCAATCCGGGGCTTCGGGGGAGAAGCACCTTTTTGAAACTTAAATAGCATAATGCTTTTGTTTGACTCGGAGATCTGGCCGGATTGTATGCAGATTTGAGGATCATTGAAAGGATAAGAGAAAACTCAATTTTGAGAGCAGAGCAATTGGCGAGCTGGAAAACTTGTACCTAATTCAGATACTAGAACGATTCGTTCAGCTTATATACCGCTTTCCCTACCATCATGCGGCAAAGCAGACGTTGACTAGTTACAAGACAACCTCCAACATTTTAGTTATGTCTGTCCTATGTGACAAATCAAGGTGCCAACTAATTAGAACTTGTATGTTTGTAACCAGTTATCAGCGCTTCTTCTCGAAGCGAGTGAATGAAACCGGGGTGATACGGAGTGCTCTTGTATGTTTTACATTTCTCTCCTGTGGCCGCCTCACACTCTGGATAAGTCCTATACGTCGACAAATTGAACATTCCTGGTTCTAAAGTAGCCACAACCCCAAAGGCTCGCTCCCTGCCACTCTCTTTATTGACCAACGCGCATAAAGCGTTCAAATCATAGGCTTGATTGTACATCCTTGAATGCAAAACCGACACGTGTCCAGTGATAACCAACGAATGCCACGTACTCGCGTTCCCTGCGAAAGGATTGTTCCAGCTGTCTGGGCAAGGCCGCAGATTGAACTCTGGGGATAAGACTCCGATGTTCTCAAGGGGAATGCTGTGCAATGCAAGAGGGAAGGCACACTGATCAAGA